TCCGCGATTTTCGTCAACTGCCCTCGCCGCCACGCTCGCCGGATTTGTCCCTGATCGAGCGTGAGTGGATCTTGATGGGCCAACGCATGACCCGTGTTGCGATTCTCCCAACAACGCTGCCTGCTGTGCGTGAGGCAGTGCAGGAGGCGTAGAATAGTGTACACTATTCGCCAACTGTACGATGGGATGCCGGCCCGCATCAGCTTGTCATACTGTCCGCAGCGAGTACATGCAGTATTGATGTGTGAGTCTCAAATGGCTCTGTCTATGTAATCATGTGTAGTATTCTGTATGTGCTGTATCTGTACGGAGGAATACACCGTACAATCGGGGTGTTGCAAACCTTTTCCCCTCTGTCTTGCTATCCTACTGTAGTGACATTTCTTTTAATTACTTAGAGAAATCCTCTTTCTTTCCTGTGGATTACTAGAGATCTTTCTCTATTAAAACAAACTGCATAATTGGTCTTCTTATGTTTCTTTTATAATTATGTAATATTTTTAAAGCACATAAATTCTTTACTATATATGAAGTCGGAGCTGGTAACACACATTAATTTAGCTTAACGAAAAATTTCCTTAGACACCTAATCAAAATTTTCCACGTTTCAAAATTTTTCCATTTCTCATAGGGATTTGTTTTAAAACGGTGTGTAAGTAAGGAGTGAGGATAGGACAACAGAATAGAAGGTAAGATTGTGCACGGTTCAGGCCTGTTTGTTAAGGTACTGCTTTGGTATTCGCCTGGTGTTGACCAGAGAGACCATAGAAAACACTGATCAGAGCAGCCGTCCACTAGCTTCCTCCTCCAGACAAAGGCTGAATTCAAACTAGCCATCTAGCAAGTGTCGAAAATTCTGGCACCGCCAGGACTCAAACCCAGCCCTCCTAGTCAGAGACTGCAGTGACATCAGTTGATGCCCTGAGCCACCTTTGCCAACACAAAAATTTTGAAGATTTTAACACAATATAATTTGAGTAGAACTGGCTAGCCTCACCAACTTCCTGCGCAGTGGACTTTTGCATACAGTTTTCTCACGCTTAGTTTTATACTTCCGTTAACTGTGGACTACGAATGCAAGAAGTAGCAGAGGAGAGTTTTCTCCCATCTTTTCCATTTCAGAAATTGTTTCTCTTTTACTGTCAATGGGAAAGGAGGGGGGAGGGGAGGGTCTTGGTTTGTCTCACACTACACTTTAGATGTTGAAGGTTATGGATTTACAAGGACTGTTGTCACATTCTTTGGCAGCAACTACTTCTCTGCTTAAATAGTAATGTGGGGTGCCTTCTGCCGCAAGTCCTACCCTTGTGATCTACATGAATCAATAGTTTTGTATTGTGAATGAATCATCTGCATTTCAATTATTTCTTATGGGAAAAATATTTTTCCCCCATTTTTAGTTGAAAGTGGCTGACCTTTCTGCAAATGAAATATATAAACTCATTCAAGAGAAAAAATATAAAAGTTCAAAATGCTGTTTAATGAGAATTTCAAAAATTTGAATATTTTTGCTTCGGCTGTTTTCTGTTTTGAGGTCAACATATCTGTACGAAAAATTCTGCTATAAAATTGAATAAATAAAATCTAGATATCCCACTTCATTGACAAGTGAGCTTTGGAAGTCTTATCAGTCTGATCTAGAACAAGTAAATTTGCACCTTAATCTAAAAGAAGAAATGACTGACAAGCAGTTTCAAAGATCACATTAATTTCTAATCCTCGTTTACATTTCACACTAACACATTTTCATATTTTATTCGTTACAAATAAAATGAGGAAAGAAGAAGAAAACAAAACGGACTGCTCTCAAGGATATTTCTATATGTTAGTTACATTAAGACACCAATGAAAAAGGTCATGGCTGATATTTACACACTATTGTGAAATCAATCATTATATATATATATATATATATATATATATATATATGATATGCGAAGCAAATGCATTTCGGCATATAGGCATATATATGAATACTGGACTTGACACCTACCATTGCCTTGTACAAAATTATTGCATTTGCATGCCATATACTCACTTTCCTTACCAGTTATGTTACTTTCGATCTATTGCATTAATTTAAATGTCTACCATACTCATTCAAAGAGGCCTATGATATGTACTAAAATACATTTAAAACAGGGAAAATGAACACAATACTTATTTTATGCACAAAAAGAGTCTCTAAATACAATAGCCCTATTTATATTTAACTGCTGATGTGCATTCCTTATTACAATCTAAATTAATATGGAAGATTATTCTCTTTAGGAAATTGTTTTTATTTTACCTGATGGACCATATCCTTGATGTGACTGCTTCATCAAATAACAGGAAACTTCCGATCGACTTGAATGGCCCCACCCATTGATTTGGCCATTGCTTCGATTGACATTTATAGTCTCACGAGTTTTTTCCACCCATTCATATTCATCACTTTCTTCTCCACATTTAGGAGATTTGTGATTTCCATTGTGGTAAGGTTCATATCTGCACAAGAAACAACAACAGTGTGTACATAGAGAAAAAAAAGTATGACAAATTTTTCTTTTAACAGGTACCATAATGTCTAAGTGAATATTAATTTCATTATTTTAAATAACAGTAAGAGATAGAGCATATTTTTACTGATGAACAAACAAAATTTAGAACATCTGAAATAGTGCCATTATGGTACCTAATTAAAAAGCATTATGAATGAATTTTGTGATGATCCAAACCCTTGTCAGAGGAAGCATGCTCAAGAAACCGAAACCTTTGCAAAGGTCAGAGGAAACTTACTTGCATTCTACAATTTTCTTCCGATCTTTGGAAGATTTCTCAGGGCTACAATTGGAATTTCCGTGTCTTACAATCACTGGGATGTTTTCCTCTTTATCGGGACACCTGCTATGATGCACACCAGGAATTGAGGGACTGACCTCCCACTGAGGTCTTGATGTTGGATTAGTTAGACTCTCTACACTGTTTGCACGAGATGATGAATGACTTCTATGAAATTGTCCACCTTCGTTGTCACTAGTATAATTACACAGGGATGCACTCTGTTTGGTCACAGATTGTGAAGAATTTGAGTTATCAACTGAGTCTGATGTAGTCCTAGGAGTTTTCTTTGGTGACCTTTTAACATCCGAAACTGACCAAGGGGTAGTTGAACTAGCCACACTTGTGCTACTGCTCTCACTATGACACGATGGGCTATGCAAGGCCATGTCCGTAACTTGCCAACCCCCTGAGGCAGCCTTCCCATTTCCATTACCTGGCAGTTTTGTATTGACTTGCAAGGTCTGAATGATTTCAACATCCCCTTCATCTACACTGGTACTAACACAATTAAGAGACTCGATATCTATTAATTTCTTGCAACTTCCCCCACTACTTCCCTCTGGTTTCTTATTCTTAGAATTTTCAGAACAACTTTTTAAAGGTACTGGTGAGCTCTGGCTAGTGTCTTTATTGCAAGTGGCAGGAGAACTATCAGAAGTACTGCTGGGTGGTTTCACTGCTTTCTGCACTTGGCTGGAATCAGCGGTTCTAGACGGAGAAGTCTTTGGATGCATTTCATGGCTGCTGAGAGGCTTATTGGAAGAGGAAAGTTCTCCACTTTTATGCAGAAAGGGCGAACCAGCTGAAGGGCTTTTGCTTCTGACAGGAAAAAGCTCAGACTGTTTCACAAGGGGCAAATTTTGTTTGTTGGGCGTGGGCACTTTTCTTTCTGGACTAGGTTCAAGACTTGGCATGTCAGGTTTCTTCTCATTTTTCTCAGTTTCACTTTCACTTGAATCCTCAGAATCATACGGGACTAAACTTGAGCTCGGCTTGTTCTCTTGGGTGGATGGCTGACAAACAGTACCGTTCTTTATGCGCATGACAAGTCTTGGATGAAGCCCAAATGTGATGCGGTCCCTGCAACAGGCAAGGCTCATTACTGCCAAGCCCTAGACAACACTGTCCCTGAGGCCAAAGGGTAGGATATGAGAGAGAGGGGATCGATTAATGAAACCATGCCATCTGCTGATCCTGTCCTCCAGCCATCCCTCATCACTGCCCATTTTTTAGCCACTTACGTCAAGTCTTATTTCTTCAAGCCCCTTTGTTAGTAAATTGTAACAGATACCCTTCTAATCCATGAAAACATATCCTTCCTTTAAATCTATTTCCAACCTTCCTTGTGTATTATTACTACTGTCTAAACATTTTCATTACTTAATGAAGTGCAAACAACTTTCTTGAAATTGTTAGTGTTTGCATTTGATCTATAGTAATAGTACAAGCAGTTCCACCCTCTGAGTCCACTTATCATTGCTTTGCTACCATTATAAAAATTCAACACACCCACAACATAAGACATCATTTTCAGGTACTGACAACTACTTACATTAACCTGCTTCTACATTTCAGCAGAAATATACTCTTTCAATTGCTTACATATTTTCATTCAAGCAAGTGATCATTTGCACCTGCACTGGCAAAATAAATAGGAAATTAAACGTGTGATGTTTAAACATTTGATTTCACTTTGTCAATTTGTGAGAATCTGACCACTTATATACTCTGCCACATCTATGCCTTACTTCAAGAGAAAATGAATTTTCTCTTAAAAAAGTCATTGTTGTGCATTTGGTCTAAAGGAGAAAGCTAATGCAGAATGAACAGCCCCCAGGAACATCAATTAAGGATTGTGTTATGGAACAAAGATGAAAACAAGAGTAAGCTGGGATAGCTGAGCATGCCTGATTATTTGGTACAATGTATCAAGTTTAATAAAACAGCAAAATATAAAGAAAATATTTTCTATGACAAATATTCTTACAGTTGATAAGAACAAGTCTTGGTTTGTTATATAGAAACACAAACAACAAATTATGATAATCATACTTGAAGTTTCTCACTTGGTCATTTGAATAATTATAAAAACTTTTAAATTCTTGAAAATCACACTAACAACCTGCACTATAAAACAAACCAAACTTTAAAAAAAAAGGAAAGAAAAAAAAATTAAATAAATTGATTCATACCTCTCCTTTGCTGGAGGTAGATGACACCCTACAGAGGGTTTATGAACAGCTGGAATGATTCCTGGACTGATTTTACTTGTCACTGTGTTCGCTCCTGAATTTATCTTCATATTTGGTGGTGATGGAATGATAGAAGGACCAGGTTTATGATTTGATGGTAGTAATGGGCAATTAAAGGTTCCACTATTATTATTAGATTTTTGACCTAATAGAAAAAAGATAATTACATTAGTTGCATGAATCCTCAAGTTTAACTTTCTAGAAAATCTTGAATTGAAGCCAAATGAAGCAACATTGATGAATAAATAACTTTTCATTTCAACAACTATTGCCAGAATTTTACAATCAAGGTATGTTTCTGGTGAGTTCAGACACAATATCATACATACACAAATACCAAACTGCACAGATAGCATACAAAATAAATTGAATGTTCTTAATGAAGAATGATTAAAAACCAATATTATGTCACACAAATACTTACACTCACACCAGACTTATGTGAACAAGATACATATAAATCAAGTATAAAAATATAATTTTTACATTACATACCATTACATGCAAGAATCGGAGTTGAAGTTCCCGATGTAACTGTTGCAGGTTTCGAAGATGAAGAATGATTTTGAGTCTGACGAGCATCAATCCTTTCCAACTCATAAATGATAATATAAGCATTTGTTTCCAAAGCAGCATTTAGGGAAATGGGCCGCACCTATTAAATAGTTTAATTTCACAGAATGAGTTCCATTAACTAGTCACATCACAACAAAAAAAAAGCACAAACCTACCAGCAGCTGGAATGCACGCAGTTCTGGAAAATATCTAATCAAACCTTTTTATAATGTTGTGTGTTATGATTTTACTTTCCTTAATGAAAAACATTTATTTCAATATTTTTCTTCACCGAGAACAGTGTTAATTCACAGAACAAATGTTCTACCACAAATGATGCAGAATAACAATGTATACAATGTAACAGAATATAATGGAGGTTTTATGAAGTGAAAATTCAAAATAATCTTATACGCACAATGTGAAGAAAACCTGCTTTTATCCTGACAAAACACCTAAGATCTATTAATATTTAACATATTACAGTACATTACATCTTTATCCTATCCATTTAATCAGCATTTTATCAGTAAATGTTGAAAATCATGAAAAAAATTTCTAAGACTAAAATTCAAGAGGAGAGAGGGAGGGAAGATGGAGAAGGAAGTGAGGTGAAAAAGGTGGGGTGAGGGGGAGGAGGAGGGAGAGGGAGGAAGTCACCAACCACGATCAAGCACACATGAGAACTAAAATGATTCCTAGTTGTCTGACCTCCACATCTGGTTGTCAATGGAGTGAATAAATAATTTCGTGTGGGTAACAAACTTCAACTGACGGAAGCTTGGGAAATGATAAGAACTCATTACAATTTTTTAAAACACACTTTCTGATACTCATCAGCTTTGGAATAAGTTCATTGCAGTTTGTGTCATGTGCAAGCAGAAGGTATGCAATGATTAGGGAGAGGATTTTAATGAAATGTCTTTTTTCTTTTTATTTTAGAACAATGCCATTTAGTAGAGAAATTATTTTTATTTTAAGACAAAAGGAAATTACCCATTTTTACAGGTCATTTTTCTGCATTTCTTGTCAATTTTCACTAATAAGTCATTTTTTACTGTTTTCTGTAATTTGTAATGAATTTTTTGTTGGTTTAATTGATTTTAAAATTATTTGAAAAACTTGCTTCACATAATATTTACGAGATGCAACAGTTGTTTTAAATAGAATTCCTGAGTAGCCCATTTTATTTCTTTGCTCAGAAAGTGTAATGTCAGCCGTTGTAAGTAACGTAAGATTCCAGTGGTGCCTATCCGCACTATTGACTGTACAGCCGATTTCGGGATAACTTAAGAGATATGCTGGTAAAAAATAGTTCAAACTAAAAGTTTGCCAGCTGTGTGCACTTGAATGAACAGAAGTCTTGATTACATCAGTAACATATCCAGCTTGAATTGTTCATAGGACATTTTTTGATCTTTTTAAGCCATTTTTCTCTGCTTTTAGAGCATTTCATTGATCATTTTTGGCAATGTTTTAGGTCATGAAAATACTCCCCTTAGTAATGATTAATGCCTAGATTCTTAGGTTAGAATCTCTTTTACATCTATTTTGTCAACACCCATATTTTAATATACATATATGTTTCATTGATTTCTGAGCCAAATGCTCAAATCCTTTAGGTCCTACAAATGGCTAAAATGAGATAATTGTTGCCTGTAAATACTTTCAATAAATAAATAAATAAATAATATACAATTCAACTGGCACAAAGGGTGAAAGATAAATGAAATGAAATTATATTATGGCTATTTAGAAAACAAAACAAAAAAGTTTTCAGGCATTTTTGTACTTTTTAAAAACTTTTGTGCCCTTTATATTGGATTCCATTTCTAAAGGCAACAGCAATTAAAAAAAATTAAAATCTTACCGCACTATCATCAAATTGATAAAAATGTCCAGTTGATGTTTGTGCAATAGCAGTGTAATGTCCACAATGCACAGATGTTCCCATATGGGTAACCATGGAAACAAGCCGGTAAGTTAAAGGTTGAGACCCTCTATATGCTGACTGTGGACAAAGGAATCTGGTCATATCCAACCGCTGCGTGAAGGACACATGTTTATTGATTTTACCTCCCACCATACTAAATCTGGAACAAATTAAAAGATTTTTCTTCACAATTACATATAATGCAGACAAAACATACTTTGAAAGATTAAAAACTTTTCATTCAAGAGTGTAGACAAGCAATCTATACTACTGAGACGATTTCCATAACTGGTAATCCACTAACTTGTGAAAAAACAACATATGAGCTGTACTGCAAACACGTTTCATGAACAATTTAAGGGAAAGAATTAGTAATATTAAAACTACTGAAAGCGATAAACTTCATTAAAAAATTTAGCTTATATATCCCATGAAAGTAAAAAAATTTCATACTTTAATATTATATAAATTCTCTGCAGATTAATTATGATAATTAAAATTCACAAAAGAAAATAAATTATTGAACAAACGAAACTGACATACCTTTTTAATTGAATACATAATACAAAAGGTGGTTTCTCAATGGAAAATTTTTTTGTAGCAGATACTTTCTTGTGACATCTTTCACAACGATAAGCATCATCACCATCTAATCGTTCTCTCTGAAAGTAAGAGGCTAACGCATCATCCAATGTGCTTGCACGCCTAATATCAAGAAGTAAATCTTGGAAATGCTGGAATGTAGTCGAAACTCCTCTACACTGCAAACAATTAACTGCACAAAAACGCAAATAAACAAAATAAAAACATTAGTTATGTGGTAAATCTGCTTTTTATTGAGAACAAAGTTTAAGGATATCATAAAACATTTTATTTTTACCTTCTGTTCTCATATATCCTCCAAATATTTGATTCAAAGGAGTGGTTTCCTTACTATAATTATCTAATCTGAAAGAAGAAAATACTTATAAATTAAATATCCTTATACATTTTGTTAATATTCTGATTAAAAATACATGGTAAAAGATTTGAATAAGCAAAGTAATGAAAAAAGTTGAGAGCAGTTTGTCAAGAAGTCATTAACATTTAATAAAAGTCACTGTGTCGTAAAAATTTCTGTTACAGATTCTTTAAAAAAAGAATTCAAATTATAAATATTATGATAAGCAATAACTCCCTTGCCTCAGAAATCAAGAGTTTAAAGTCACAACTTCTTGCTGAAAGCTGATTATTCTTTAATTGTTAAAAAAATATAAATGGATTTTAATATTAAAGATTGCCAATAATTCCACTGCAGTAATCAAAACCTAGGAAGGAACACCTGAAGTCTCAGCAAAATTATTATTTGCATTATAATCCCTCAGTAATGACCAATTATGCTACAATGGCCTCATAAGCAAATTGAAGGATGAGATCAGTTTGTTTCCCAACTTTACCCCTAGGATCTATTTTGAGTTGAACTTGAGAAAAGTTCTGGAACTTCCACAATACTTACTTTTCTCCCTTGAACCTCACAAGGTAAGTCTCTTCCATGCTTTCAATAAGATAACGCATAAATTCATGGGCATCTTCCTGTTGACCATGCACCATATGTTTGCAGATCACTGAAATTGAAAATAAAATAGTTATAAGAAATTAATTAAAAGAATCAGGTACATGGAAATATACTGTGACCAACACTATTTCATTACATTTTAAACAGCAATTTCTATATCACAATTAAGCATAGAAGTGAAAACAAGCTCTATATCTTTAAACACTTGTAACAAAATTGATGAAAATCACTGCATTTGACATGTAGAGTTACACAGTTTCAAACAAAATCTCCCAAAATAAGTAAAAAAGTAAATTTTTGAAAAAATTAAATAAGAAATGCAAAATACTAGGTGAAAAAAACTTGTAGAACATTTCAGGAATCAATATGTTAGATTTATCTTGTCACACAATATTCTATCAGCACTTTACGAATAGTGGATGCTACATCAGTTTCCATTTAAATTATTTTATTATTTATAAATTATTAAATTATTATTAAGCCGGAATAACAATTTTACTGATGTGTCAATAATTGGACAAAGGCCAGAAAATTCATAGTATTTGCTTCCAGTACGATTAATATTTTCTTTTCAACAATTCAATGCAGGACCCTGGGTGATCGCGGTAGCATTTCAAAGCAGAGACAGGTACGCAGCTGAGATGCTTGGTAAGACCTTCAGCATGACAATTTCTGATCAGGCGTCACTGCGCTTCCCAACTCTAAAAATGTGCTGTATTGTGAAATGCATTGCATCTTCAGAATAATAATAATAAGAAAATTGGGAAATCATGAAAAACAGAGAACTGTATAACAAGTCGATTCATTTGTCAAGTATATCAATGTTTGAACAAAATAATATTATGATAATAATAAATATTAAATATATTATCAACATACTTTTATCAACAAGCATTTTGAAATAATACACATGTCTGGCAGTCGCAATAATGAAACATGCTAAGTACTTTGAAAACAATGTACACTAAATAAACTGTTGCTTTAAACTGCAATATAGAAAGAGAAATAAAGTGTGATCAACATCGACATATTCATATTAAAAACCCCGCAATAAGAAAGCAAAAAACACATGTCTAACTAAGAAACATAGCACCCAGCACCTGTGAATCACAAGACACAATTGAGAGGCACAGCAGTTGAAGTCCCTTCTCTCTTTAAATGGCAAGAAAAATCCAGTCAATCCAAACATCCATGCTGAAGGGTTAAGTGAATGTCACAGCTGTACAAGTTCTTGTTAGGATCTCCTCCGTGATATTCTTTAGTTTTAATAAAAAAATAAATGCTACAGTAAATAGATCACTAACGATAAGAATAACCCTTTTAACTATGTGAAAACAATGACAACAGTTTGGTTAGTCACAATTTTTTTAATTGTCAACTGTATATTCCATTAAGAGAAAGGGCCTCCTGCTTGAGCAGGGAATTATTAATACTTCTTTAATGAAGTGATAGAATGATGAGTGAAAGGGCAATCACAAATACACCCATGCTCGAGGCAGAATTTGATCCCGCGATCCTTCAATCCAAGATAACCATGACACTACTGCCTTAGCGAGCTCAGCAACCTGCACTTACATCATATTAAATCAGATTATTTAATGAAAGCTTTGGTATGTGTGAGAAATTCTGCTGCATGGTCGCAATGCAAAGATTTTCAGTGTTCATCAGCAATCATAATGATGCTTGTCTATTGCAGAGAGACCTGTACAGATTGAATGACTGGTGCCATCATAATGACATGCTTTTCAATGCGTTAAAGCACTCTGGGATGTCATACTCACTGAGATGATCTGACATCTCTCATGTGACTAGTATATTATTTTAGTATCTAAGAATCAAAGAAAGAACCACAACCTGTTTACAAATTTGCTAGTTTAATATTTCATAGCAATTATCGAGTTATGACATAGACTATATAATGTTATTATTTACTCTAAGTGGATAGTTCTTCAAAATATTCCACTACTTCTTACAGATCACCAACGTTTTGTGGTTTCCATTTGACGTTTTGGGCGTTCCCATGCAACAATTTTTCGGTGGTTTCAAAAATTCAGAAGAGGTAGAATTTTTGTTGAAAGACAAGGAGAGTAGCAGGCATACAGTGACTGCAGTAACTGAAGAAAACAATCGCTGTGGAAAAGTTGGTGCACCAAAACAATGGTGTGACATTTAAGGACATTGAAGGGGTCCCTACAGATTGGATCACGAGCAGTATCCAAAATCCTGCACTTATATCTTCGAATCAGGAATGTTGCATCTCGATGGGTGGCTCACACTATGACAGAATCACAGAAGTGCATCAATGTAGAATAGCGTAAGGAAATGTTGAGAAGATTTTAAAGAGGCAACCCTAAGTGTTTCTCACTTACTTATGGGTGACAAAACGTGGATTTATCAGTTTGATCCTGAAAATCAGCACAAGTCAATTGTATGGATTTTTTTTTCTGACAAACCTCTACCAAAAGTTTTTGCCAAGCTTTAAGAATGGCAAACGAAGACAGAACTGCTGGGAATTGTCCTGCACCAAGACAACTGCCAAGAAAAATTTGTGTCTGCACAAACAGCCAACCTCACAATTCAGATCCTGGAGTCATAGGTTAAACTAATGTCTCAACCACCTTACAGTCCTGATCTGGACTCCTTGTAATTATTTTCTGTTTCCTACAGTCAAAAGTTGCATGCGAGGAAGGAGGTTCTCAACTCCAGAAGTAGCTGTTGATGCCTACAAAAGTGAACTTTTAGTGCTCGAGGAAAACGAGTGGAAAAACTGTTTTGAATACTGGTTTACGAGAATGCAAAAATGTATAGAGTGTCTTGGCGAGTATTTTGAGAAAATATAGTTATCAAAATTATTGAAGTTTCTTAGATTTTGTGTACCTCAAAACTTTCGTAGTGCCCCTCATATCATGCTCTAGTGTTTGGAAAAGAGGCTTTAAGTTCTTGTCAATCAGGGAGTCACTAGGGCAGGAAGGGAGGGGCGTCTTCTTTGATCCTCCTTCCTATGCACCCTAGGGGTTTGTGATATTTATTTTAAAACAAGTAAAATATTTGATAAAATATGACTTGCAGCACTGAAACCTGAACTTTTCATAAATTTCTATTGAATTATTATAAATTGGATATGACACTAGATTCCTACGTTCATCATACTGACATATAACAATGCTTAAAAAACATGTTACTGTTGAAACAAGATGCATCTCAAGGAGCAGAATTTTCATGACAAGTAATTATAACACTGAGAAACACTGCACAGAAGTATTAAAAGTACTAATTCGGAATACTTAATGATTGGTGACAGACAGGATATGACTGATGTGTGTACATGATAAAGATTTCTACATCAGTCATCATTTCCAATTCCTCGGTACCTAAACAATTAGATCAAGCATGTCCTTCCTTAACCTTGGTTCACACTGCTAATGTAAGAATTCAAGACAATCTCTCCAAATAAAGTGAACATAAGCAAGCTTAAAAAAACAGGAACACCTGAAATTGACCCCTATTCCACAAAGGGAAGCAAAATCAAGCAATTAGAAAGGGCTCAAATGTAAAAACTAATCCACATATAACATGTTTTCCTGATTCCCATGGTCTAGAAAGCTCAGAATAATGTTAATTTACTTGGAAGGCCAAAATATGTACAACTAGCATATTATCGCATTACAGGTACATAATTACTAATATATAAAAGACAATGTTGGCTTGTTTGTTATTCGTTCGTGCTTAATGCATTGCCATACAATTCATCTGATTGCGATATAATTTTGTCAACTTATTGCTTGCACTTCCAGGAAGAAGGTAGGTATAGTACGATGCGGAAAATGCACATTCCTGTGGACATAGACGCATGTTGATGATGATTTTATGTAGACTGAAGGGTCCAGATCAGGACGTTTTTCGCCACGGCACTCTCTACGCAGCCTGTCACACACTGAAGTACGATTATTAAGACTTCATTGTGTATTCTGCCCCTGCATTTGGCAAGTTTCTCCTGGGAGAGACAGAGTTGCAGAGACAGAAACAGAGTCAAAGAAGGAAAGACATGGAGAGAGAGAGATAGAACCATACTCGCAAGAAAGTCTTTTGTCTATTGAAAGTTTTGCAGAGCGCAGTGTAACGTGATTAACAATGTGTCCAGTAGCATATGAATTGTAATAAGAGTGCAATAGCGAAGCATTGCCGGGTTCACTAATTATACATACATTTGCATGCAGTGATACACATTTTCCTCTCCCTAAATATATAGAATGGCATAAAGAACCTGCAAACTTCCAGCAGTCACATTTTGTTATCTGTGGCGAGTTTCTCAAAAGAGAGAAAAAGTTCTCTGCACAAGAATCACAGGATGGTGTGGAACACCAGGCATATTTTGGAATGCCAGTTGGAGATATGGTTAAGACATGGGCTCATTTCACCTGTGACAACTGCAAACAAGGTAAGGAAGGTCTAGAAGGTAAGATAAAAATAAGGTAGTTGTAGCACATCATAGAGCGACAATGTCATTTTGTTTGTCTAAAGGATAGTACAGAGGAGAAAACAAATTTCAGTAAAGTGAGGTGCAGTACAAGTACAAATCTAGAAAAACCACACATTTTTAAAATATTTTCTTTTGTTTTGAAATGTAAATAAACAATATGTTTCATTATATGTATGTCATATGTATTATATATATGTGTACGATAGAAAAGTTTTACTCATGTGTCCAAATGTAGGGCTAAGCAAAGAATAAAACTCGTTCTCCTGAGCACAAAAGTAAACTTTGATGATTAATGACCATTGTTGCAACAGGTGGGACACGAGCACAAAATGATGCTTGCCGCTGGACTTCACATTCTGTAATTTTCAATGACAATTTCATGATTTTTCAGAAATTGTTGTCAGTAAAGTCAAACGGTAATAAGCAGAGAGCTTTTGCAGATATTCACAGAAAGTTCAAACCATCAAAGCAAAACACCTTCAGAAAACCTATACGTAGAAGATTAAATTTAAAATCTGAGTTACTTTTATTAATGATGTTTTAGATGAACTTACTTTTAAGTTTGTTATATATCAAATATGGCTTTATAACATTCCCAGACTTGTTCTGCGAAGCCTTTAATGTTTTGCTCATTGCACAATTTATACACTCTCCTTGCATACTTCCATCTGAAAACAAAAAATGAAATTTAAATACATGCAATAATAGAGATAACTGGAATATATATAATTAGTTACAACAATAGCGGTAACCATAAAAGTAACACAATCCACATTCTTAATCTCAATTAAATAATGCAAAATATTTTCACTTAATTTACAAGAAGTTGCACTGAAAACATTTTAATCTAATTAATAAAGATTCAATTACGCCAATAAATTGAAATTAAATCCCTTAAATTATTAAGAGTAAGCACAAACAGCAAAGCATACATAAAATGAATGAATGAAATGAAATAAATTAATCGCAACAATTGTTCAAGAAATGCATTAATAACTGGAACAATTTCTTACTTGCAACAAAACATTTGTTCAAATGATCAGAGTCACTCTGGAGCCAGTTCACTAAAGCTGGGATGTGAAAAAGAGCCTGCAAACAGAAAACAATGAACACTAGTATTATTCAAAATTGAAAACAATATAAACAATTATTGAATTATTTTTTATTGTCCGTTACAAATAAACGATACTCCCAATCTAGTAGTTCCCTCAGCTCTAAAATACATGTGCAAATTTAAGCAACCCTTAACAGAATTTAGAAATACCACAATTTGTTTTCTATTCAAAATTTTGCAAACTGTCAAGAATGCTTCCAACTTTTCTATAAGCAAAAATACTGCTTTCAATTATTTGAAAATTTGTATGCCTTCATGAAATACATACGGGAAAAAAAACATTAAAAAAATAAGTTCCCTTCCTAATAAAAAAATAATCTCTCATTACGCAAAAATCATTGCTAACAGACCATACTCTTTTGAACATAAAAAAATTTTGCTGATATGTGATATAATTTAACAATAGCTGGCAATGTAAGTAAAAATATGAAAACTAGTTAAAAAATTCTTCCAATTAGTCATCTGACCAGGCACAACTTTTCATTGCTTAAAATTAATTATATTACCACATTGTGCTGTAATGAGCATTTAACTTTGTGCCTACGCAATACAAAATTGCAGGGACTGTGTAAACACACAATAAAACAATATTCTGGAATTATAATCTACACATTTGGATCGGTGCTTGCAAATCAGTAGTTCCTTATTCACCCACCACAAAATAACAATGAACAAATATACACAAGTCTCACACAACTTAACTTTAATACACACTTGTGTATTAAAAGGGTTAATGGACAAAATAATAATAATAATAATAATAATAATAATAATAATAATAATAAACAACTAAAAACCAATGGTGTGTATGTACTGGAAGGTAAATAAATATCAAAATAAATTTATTTGAATACTACCACTCAAAAAATTGTTAAACAGAAAATAGAAATCTCACCTGAAGGGTAGAATTTAAATAACACGTATTTCCAACATTGATCATTCCAGCACCCACAGGGAAGTTTCCTCGCCATCCTATTTGCACTCTTTCAGCAGGAAACAGTATTACTTTAGGAGTGGGTAATACTGAATCTGGCTCTGGTCTCATTTCCCTATTGGCTGAAACAGTAATAACAGTATTGACATCTGCCTTTCAAACAAATGTTTCCATAAACAAAGTGTGATAAATAGAAAATTTAAATACAAGAGTTGAAAAAACACACTCACCAACCTCTCTCTCTCATATATATATATATATATATATATATATATATATATATATATATATATATATATATATATATATATATATATATTTATATTAACAAGTGAAAATATAATAAATTGCCTCTCTCACCTTGGTTCTCTATTGACCGCTGAGTTGGTACACCTCCATTCACAATAGGTTTATCAGTATCTATTCTCACGTATTTATGCTTTAAATTGTCAAGCACAGATGCATTGTAACTTTCTGTTTCTTCATATTCTACACTAATATTAAGAACCTGACTTGATGACAGTACCAGGCGTTTGTCTAGATCTCCAGAATTTTCACTAGCACTCAGCGATTGGCGTAGTGAGGCACTCACTGGATCTCCAATTTTGGCAGGCATAATACCTTTGCAGTCATTACTGTGAAATATTACACACTATCAAGCTATGTAGAACAAGCAACAAATCCATATAACAATGAAATAAAATACTTCAAAATTTATAGGAAGCTCATAATGGAAACAAGTGATTAAATAATCAAAATATTTTTGATACAATCTTCCTCTTGTAATTTGGATGAAGACCATTGCACTGAACACGTTGTGCAAGAGTGCACACGAGTTCAGACACAGGTAGAAATCTAACAGTTATTGTTTTCAAGAGGTAAACAAACACTAGGTAAACAGCGCGCAAATTATCATTCGACTTTATATGCATTCCGGCGTAATAAGATAAGTAGTTCAACCCCTCATCAAGGAAGCACAGTGGCCTCCAAACGTACGCATTATGGCTATACAATACATGGACCCCACGTTTCATACTACTCGAAATGAAGAACACTACTTACAATTGTACCAATCTCTGGAAATAGCAGCTCAAAATGCACATATGTTTTTATCACAAGGTCACTGGTCTTTAGGCACGCGATTATACGGCGAAAACTTAATTCATTACAACACAGTCGATCTCTACCATGAGTTGCGACACTGTTCCAGAACCACACATAAAAACAGTAGCTTGTCTTTCACATACTAACCCTTCAGATTAAATCCTGAGATATCACTTCTTGAAAAATCGCAACAATATTTAAGTATTTAACAAACAATTACACTACTTTCTTAATACCGGAACGTGACACATGCCGCTTATCTATTCTGGAGGACACCGAAATGTGGTGTAGCATATGTTTAAATTCCTTCCAGGAAAAAATCCTAGCGGGCCAAGTACGAGTGCTTTTCAAGTCTTGAAATAAAACACTTAAAGGAAATATATTCTCGGTATTGTTTTATCACAAATAATACTCTAAAATGATTCTTTGGATCATGCATTACGTTGGTATCCCGCTTGATTAATCAGTACTTTAAATAGTCAATATGGAGACGATAAGGGGAAATGGCGCGCTAACAGCCTTCTAGATCGTTTTGCCAGATTTTGTTTACTCTATGTACTTTTCGCTTTTTATTCTGAGAGATGAGCTTCGCTAGTATGTGATTATTACGAGTATTTCCTAGTGATATTTGGTGACGATAAACGTGTTTTTGTGTCAGAGGCAAAGATAAATGGGATTATATTGATGTTCGAAGCATTGAAGATAGATCAATGCGCCCTTAGCCATCAATGTGAGATTAAAAGGTAATTAATGTTTTCAGCAAATTTAGGCATCTTACATAATACCACTTTGCCTTGACACATTTTTGTCCAACAGGGTGGTTAAATAAAGGCAATAATGACGTCTGTCGATTCGGGAGTTGAGACAAGCAATGAAAGCAATGACAGTTGTGTTGCACATGACACAAGATCTCTTGATAAAATTCCGCCTAGTCTCACACATGTCATTGTGACAAATCTTTGTACTGTCAATACTGCTTCAGCTTCATCCACAAGTGGAATAGTAGATTATAGCAAAGAAAAGGTATTGCCATACTCATCAGTTTGTTTGTGGAATAAAATTATATTCCAGATATTTACTTTATTTATTTTCCAGTCATTGAGCTTAATTCTTCCTGACCAGAAAGCCCCTATCTTAGAGTTAGAACCTCCTGCTGGTATTTCATTTTGCAATCTTCAACCAGCATGTGGATTTGGAAAAGGTTATGAGATACTTGGAGATGGTATGTATGAAATGTATTTTAGAACAAAATGATCTCTGTGAAATTTGAAAGTATGAATGTTATATATCTCAACAACCAACATTTTTTCTCTTCATTTAATGTGGTTTCTCTGACTTTTTTTTTCTTTCCAGAATTTGCATCTCGAGGAACAAAGTTGAAAGCTACAACAAGAAGATTTTGTAATAAAAGATATCGCGATGCCTGGTTGGATTGTAAAGGTTTTTTGGGTAATAATTGCATTTTCCCCCCCCTATCTTGTTATGTATGACCTGTCAAGAAATAATGAAGTCATCTAAACATTGTATTTATTTTCACTCAGTTGCGTTTACATGTTCCTGAATTTTTTTATGAATAATGGAGTTACCTAAAATATTATTCATAATGTATTACATATTTGATTTGATATATAGTGTATTGTGTGTTGTTTCTTTTTTGTAGAAGAACATAAACTTCGAAGTGCAGCTTCTACTAATAATGTGGATCAAGTTGCAGATCTATTACATTCAGGAGTTAACCCAAATTGCTGTGATCATCAACATCGGACCCCTCTTCACCTTGCAGCCTGTAGAGGATACGGAAGTGTTGTAAGGTAGGAAATTAATTATTACCGTATAGGACTCCATTTTTTTCTGTTTTATTTTTTATTAAAAAACATGTAGGTAGAAATCACATGCCATTACCTCTAATGAGTGCATGAATGTGTGGCTGTGCATTGTGCATGCCATATTTTATTCACTAAATGTTACATGTCATGTCCAATTATTTTAATTTTCTAAATTGTTGCTTATGTAATGAAGTGAATTTTAACATGTTAAACTATGTTTTGCATGCATGATCATTTAATGTCTTTTTATCGTTTAAAGTAGGGTACACGGTACACCCTCAGAGAAGTATGGGGGCGGGGGAGTGGTCTCCTTATAGCCCTCCCTCAAATTACCCTACGCGCACTGATAGAAATTAATAAAACTTACGGATAGACAATTTTCATGGCCCGTCCTTCATAAGCTTTGCTCGTGTCAATTGTAATGCCAATTTACTTTCAACAGCAAGGTTTCTCGTTTGGCTATTGCAGTCACGGCGAGGCTTGAGCCTTCAGCCCTCGCGTTCACTATAAACATCGTTAAGTCTGTCCACCGCATAATTACCAATTCATCTTTATAAGAACACACTTTTCAAGAAAGCCTCCTGAATTCAAACTGTGCAGTTACCGCTCGAGCAGCGTGAAGTGCCAGTTTAAATGACTTCCGAAGTTGTACCGTAAACTAGACTTCAGCCCTTTTATCATCTCCAAATCCTTCAGGGAAATTATAAACTTTAATAACAAATTGTATGCTTTAAATTTGTTTTTTGTTCTTTTAATCTTATTCACATAATTCAATTATCTTTTTAATCTTATTGAATAAGGTATTTAATTTAGACAGTTGTGTTTAAGTTCATGAAAATATTCAGAAAAAGTAATGGGAATTTTTTATTTATAATACACTAGATATCATTATTTTCATTATATCCTTATAATATTCCCGATATATATGCATTATTATATCCTGATATTATATTTGCTATTTTGTTACTCAGGTTACTTTTGGAATATGGAGCTAATCCAAACCAAAGAGATGCGCTGTATAATACTCCCTTACATCTTGCTGCATGTACAAATCACGTGGAAGTTGTTACTCTCCTTCTTAAAGCTGGTTTGTACAAGATACAGCTTGTTTGATTACATTATCCACAAACGGGTTCTTTTTTAATGTATGACATGTTTGCTAAGAACTTTCAATTTGACAGAACCTGTGGAAGTGTGTGTGCTGCTGCAACAGTTCAATTATTTTTGTTAGAATTTAGCACGTGATCATTTTGGATTTGATTAATAAGCTTTGAACATTATCATTTTAATTTGGAAAAATAGATATGTAGCTTTTTAATTTATTTATTTATTTTTTGATTTTGCAATAATTTTGAAATTACTTTTAGGAACAAACATAAATAGTAATGATTCTTATGGTAGAAATCCACTACAACTGGCTCAGTCAAAATTGAAACTACTTCAGAGGGGTTCCAACAATGAAGATTCATTGAAAATAAAGGAAGAAGTTCAAAAGGTATGTTTTTGTTTGTGGATCACGAGTCATTTATGTAAATTATGTAGAAATAATTATTTGTCTCAAGATAACAAAATACTATGATCAACATGTAGATGATTTTAAACATTTGTATGGTGATGGTAGTTTATAGATCAATCAGCATAACAAATTAAAATTTACTTCTTAAAGCATGATCTCAGTGTATTTATAGGTATTACAACTTTATGCATATGTTGATACTTGTCTAACTTCATGTTTTGACTTTTTTTAATACTTAATATTTTCTTGTAGGTGATAGAAATGATGCTCACATTCCTTCAGAAGAAAGGTCAGGATTCTGAAGCTGAATTATTAAATGCATTTCAGACAAGACTAACCATTAGCCAGACTAAGGAAGAGGTTGAAACAGGTGTTCGTGATCTTCTAGATAGCTTAAACAACTTGAATCTCAAGAGTGATGCCTAATTTGAATTGAATGTGATGTATAATTTTGATTGTGCTTAATGTAATTTAGTGACTATATATAGAATGGAAGTGTAAAAGTACCCTTTTTGTGAAATATGGTGGTGAGATTTTAAATGACAGAAGCACAGGTGATTGAAGGACATTGATGGTTTGTGCAGCTATTCTGATAATCTGCACTTTTGATTGCATTCACTGTTGTGGGGTTAAAAGATTGTGCAAGCTAAATGCTTCTGCAGATTGCAATTTATCAAGACATAATTATTTTGATTATATAATGGTTGTATGTGTACAAGCAAATCATTTTGTTTTCCAATTTTTCTGATTCTCTTTGTGTTACATAAATTTTCGTAGTTTTATGAAAAAGTGTTGATTTTTTTTAGACGAATAAGCTCATTATCTAGAATTAATTTGAAGGGGTCATGGCAAGAGCATGTTAACTCAAGAGTTCAGATATTCTATTTTGGTAATAAACAGTCCAAAACTTATTACCTTTATCTGCCAGCAGTATCAGAACTTGGAGCAATTTTTGTCAAAACTAATCAAGATGAATAACCAAGTCCTTGCTATGACCTGTTGATTTCTTATGAGGTAAGTGTATAATATACAATGGACTTTTTGATAGTTAAATGGAATAAAACAAAATTATGAGGATACACAGGCATTGTGAGAATTTTATTTTGTACTTTTAAGTTTCTTTGCAAAGACCAATTCATTCTCACACAAATATGTATAAAAATGGTTGCCCAGATTTTGCTACATGATGGCTGTGCAAACTCTTGGACACATGGCAAGAGTGAATCGGCATTTTGCAAGAGATGGAAATGAAAAACAAATTGTATGGATAGAAGTATGCATCATACAACCCCAGACACAAGGACAAAAAATATTTTAGCAAAACGTCTCAAACTTGGAAGCTTGCTACTCTCCTGCTTTACTTGCAAAATAGAGATGTACACTAATGTATCTACAAATGTATGTAGTTTAATAACTAAGATAATTTCAAGTACATGTTGTAAAAAAGTTAAAGAATCAGAACAGAAAGAAGAGTGTGACTGGAAGAAAATTCAGTGACAGAGGAAATGTTCTTCGCTGGCACCAGATTAAAGAATGCAAATTTAATGCAAAAATTTTAGGGGAAGTTGAAAAATCTTAGGATGACAGTGAGGGAGAAGGGCCAGAAAGAAAAAGGGGGGAAAACAACAAACATTTGTGAAGATGGTAGTAACAAAAATCATGATTATTTTTTTAACTTACAAGAAAATAGAGACAGCTCAAGCAACATAGTTTTAACATTCTCAACCAAGAATTTTCTAGGCAATTTGCAACGCGTAACTAATTTGGTAGAATTAATTATTTTAAAAAAATTCAGGCCTCTTCAAAATTAGGAGGTAGTTGTAGACCTGTGTTATACAAGCATTGTTTTGGCACATTCTCAGGTAACACACATTGTAGATTAACACTATCTTACGCAGAGTGACCAAAGTGCTCTTGTGCTATTTCACATTAGATAGTGTTGATCTACAATGCACGTCAATGCAACACCCTGCATGGGTCCTTGTACTACTTATTTTTGTGTAAATACAGTAATTTTTTGTTGATAACTGTGTGGCAGTAGTAGTAATTTGAAGTAGAAATTTGATCTCAAATCTTAAATTGTCTGGACTCCTAATGCATTTTCAGAAAAATATGGTTTTGCATGGACAATTCATGACACTTTTCAAATCGAATTTGGAAAGTACGGACAAGTCGTGATTCTGTATTTCATATTAATAATTTTAAAATTTGGAAATGGTTTATAGTTGCAAAAAATCTGTTTTTAAAAATATAATGAAATATATTTGATAATACTAAATATGCATTGCAATAAACCCAAAAGTGAGCTAAAAGTAAACCACTTCATGAAAATTAGTTATTGCTATTAAACTATAATACATGCCATTTGTCAAATACAAGATGTTTGAGAGCAGATCTAAATTTTTTTCTTGTGCTGAGTGGTCAGTAGGTTGCAATGGGCACATAAATAGGTATAGTAGGGTGGTTTTGCTCTCTGACAACACAGCTACATGCCATGCTTCTTTAAGGAGGACATACCATGAAATGTACACTTGCACTCTCAGATAAGAAGTTTTGTGCGAAAGAGCATTGTAACCTGATCTCTGTGTGCTTGTGTACATGCATGCATGCTTGCATGTATGTATGTGTCAAGTTTTAAAAAGCGTAATATGCTGGAAGACTTAACAGAATAATACAAAAATAAGGACATAATCTATTACCTCCTCTTGGCCAAGAAAGATAAAGGTTTAATAAATTTTGTAAGCAAGACTACATCAATATTTAAGGATGATGTACAGCGTAATGAGCATTTTCTTTCAGAGGTACAAAAAAAAGAGACCTTTGAATAATGATTTTTGCTCCATGTTTATTAACAATATGAAAATTAATATTACAGGTGTAGATGAAGTACTTACCTAAGTATTGTAATTGATTGGCAGTGCAGAAGAAAAAGCCCTGAATTTATGTTTATATACTGCTCTACATTATTAAAAAGCATTATTGATTTTTTGAAGAATAAAATGTCAAGGCAAAAATGGAATAACTTGAATTTTATTTTGTACAACTTAAAATTAAAATTGATTGGAAGAATGACAACAGGGATATTAAACTTCATTAGACTAAAAATTCAAATATTTTACTCATTGAACAGTTTTGAAGAAGTGAAAGTTATGTATAAAACTAATTTCTTTGTTAATCCTATGCACTGACCGTTTAAGTGCATTTTTGGAAAATTAGTACATCTTTGCATTGATTTTTTTAGTAAGTTGACTTCCTGTCAAGTTAAGAATCAGGTATTGTGTTACTGATATTTAATTACTCTTAAATTTGCAGGGGAGAATTTAGGACAAAAATATAATTTATAGCTTTTAAGTATTCTCCTAGAAAATACAATATTTCTGATGCACAGGAGTTATTTTTGCTTGTAAGTGGAATGATGTATTTAGTGAATTAATTTTCTAAAATTGGAAATCTTTGAGAAGAAAAGAATATGTATCAGCTCAGGCTGTGCAAGTGCCAACATGGCATGTGAAACAAGCTTATCACAAATTTCAAGAGGAACATGTTACTGTACGTAAGCAACTAGCAATATTTTGAGCAAGCCATAACTGACGTGTGCGCGTGCGCGTGCGTGCGTGTGTGTGTGTAGGTTGTTGAATATTGTTTTCAGGAAAGAAATGATGAACAACTTGGTTGTTAACATGTTTTTTTTTTTAATTTCTCATCTGGTTTATCAGTTGTATTAATGCAGGAATACTTTCCTGTAGTTACGTAATTTAAGAGTCAATGCATAAGCCAGTACTTCAAGTTTAATTGTTTAAATATTTATTAACTTTAATAATAAAAGGAGAAATGTTCCCAAGATCATTTTGAAAATCGTTCTCCCAAATATACCTTCTCGAATACCCAGTATTAATTTTCAACAATTCATAATATCAATTATGAAAAAACATTGTTTGGGAGGCTCGTAACAAAGCGCTGAACCTCATTGTCTTGCTTGGATTTTACTGTTTTTGTTTCGCTGGTCAACAATTTTGAGTTTTTATTATACCAAGTGAAACAGAAAAAGTATGTCAACTAAGAGAAACCTTTTCTCAATAACAATACATGGAAATTGAAGTACAGGGGGAATAAGGATTGGGATTGGGGTTAAAACTATCATATTTAAGCAAAATTTGTAACAAGACTTTAATTATGAATCAAGTATACACGACCTTCCAAATACCAAATTTTTTACATAAACTGTACATAATAGTATTATTTGCAACAACCTGTCAGATTTTGTTAGAATACTGTACATTTACACATACTGTTCAATACAATTACACCCGTAATTGCCTAGTAACAAAATCTTTTATTTACATTAATCTCCATGTCAAACTAAAAAACATCTTTATTATATACACTATACATAAAATTCCACCACAGGGTATGCAAATCAGTCATTTCTATAAGTCTTCAATACCATACTAACGACTATACACCTCAAAAAAAGAAAGCCAGAGGCTCCTTAGAAAACTTTGTTTAAAGAAACTGCTTCATTGTAACATGTTTCTACAATCTTATTTAAAAATCAAATACTATCAGGTAACATCAGTCAAACAAGCTTGGTGAACATTCAACTCTGCTTAGGGAGGTACAATTAGTGATATAATCATTTTTCATTACATTAACAAGTTGCTGAAATTCGGTTGAGAAAAAAGAATGCTGGAATTCTGAATTTCTCTATAAAATACACCATAATCTGAGAAAACCATGTTTCTTTGTATTCCTAAGCATACTAGGCCACAGAGCTGTTAAATCTGAACAATAAGGAAGATACAAATATTTTTTTCCATATATTATACCCAGCTGGTCTTAGCTATGTATCTTTAAAAGGAATATGCAACAGACTGTAGGATTTATAACTGAAAAAAACCCCAACAGTTTTAAACAATCACAAATATTTAAAAGAGCATGAGAAAATCAATCTTCACAGTAATTTATTTTGACAGAAGGAAAACTTTGTAAACGTTGCGTTCATTAAAATAGTGGTGAGGTAGTGAAAATTCTGTACACATACATACACAATCTCCACATAATGCTGTATCAGTGGAGATTATCTGAAATAAACATATTTTCTAACGATAAGTTTTAGCTGAAGATGGAATACAAAATTTGTTACTTTCTTGCTTTAGAGTAATTCATAAATTCATCTATATTTGAGTATTAAATATAATCCAAGATGATGATTAAAAAAAAGTGTTGTGCCTGAAACTTATCACAAAAAGATGGTATATTACTGTAGAAGAAAACCCTTCTGCAAATTGCATTTGGATTTTGTTCACAGCCTTTTACTTTGAAATTTTACACTACGATGTATATTAAAGATTGAACCAAGAAGAATAAAATTTCGTTAGACTTGAGAAACACAGCTAAGAAATGGCAATTGATTCAATTCACCTTACGCAGAACAAAATTAAGTTATTTTTATTATTATTAATTAGATAAATAATTTCCTGTGCAAGGTAAAGTGAATAAATTGCCTTTTCTTAGCCATAACAATTATAATTAATATAATAATATTTTTGCTTATTCACTCAAGACCTTGACAGAAAGACTATCTTCCATAAACAAAGAACATTAACATTGATTCAGGAAACTTTTAGTTCTTTTTTTTCCACCTCTGTATTTGATGTGTTGAATGAATTGTGCATCTTAGTTTTCTACATTTTTTGAAAATACGTACTTGAAAGGCAAATGTAAATCAAAACATTTTGGAATTCAAGTAAATGGACAATAAAATAATAAAGCACCAAACATTTTTTTTTAATAGCATCACATTAAAATGAATATGCTTTAAATATGCTGGAATTTTCTGTGCTTTCAAATTAAGTTTTATGTTTTGGCATTAAAAAGATAACGATTTGTATGAACAAGTGGTTTCAAACAGTCTCACAGATTTTCAGATGAGTCTACATTTATTAAAATGTATTATTAGGGAAAGAAAAAATATATTTGATCTTATATGAAATATAGAAGCTTTAGGGAAAAACAGGCTGGAAGGAAGCTATGACCAGATAAAGTTAACTACTACTTGAAACATAATTATTTATCTCATTTAATTACTTGTGTTCCACAAATTCCACCTTTTTTTCAACTAGATACCAAAAAAGAGAATAAAGCATGTTAGCTACAAAGCAATGAAGTAATTCCACAACAGCCCCAATCCAGTAATTATAAGCAAAGTCACGAGCCAATTATATTTTACTAGCCAGGAATAGGAGTCTTGTAAATTTTAAGCACATTACTTTACAAGTTTTGGATTTGGCACATTTAAACACTTGTGTTAATAGTACTAGAGAAAAAATTCAAATGCACAAATAACCAACATATCCAAAAGTAGAAATGAAAGAAAGAATGAAATTATCTTTTTGGAGTAAAATTATAAAATATTGAGAATGAATGACCCAATAACAGTGAAAGTAATGAATACGCAAAATTTTGAAAGAGGCAGAGCTGACAGCAAGGAAGGAGAACAAAACTAACAACAGGTATTGGAATTTGTAGCAGCCACACGATCCCAAGATACAAGTACACAAATTATTTCATTTATGAAATACAATCTACTATGTGGCTTATAAAGTGATTTGTAACCTTTTTAAAATTGAAACTTAAAGAATTGCATGTACTTCACACAAAATTCAATTATCTCAATCTTCTGGTACAAATCAAAGAATTATATTGCAGAAAATTATGATAAGAAAGCAGAATTTTCACAATACAATTATTTATATTCATCAGTGAAAACGATTCACAGAATAATGTTTTGAATTCATTCAATAAACTATTCAATGATAAGAACAGAATCTCATTGAAACATTAAACAGTATATACTAATTTCATTAAAAATTAATTTTTTCAACAACAGTATTGCCTGAAGATTCCTACCTACTTTGATAAAAAGCTTTTAAAAATCATCACGTAATTACAAGAGCAAATTGTAGGCACTGTATTAGAATAGTAGTACAAAATAACAGATCACAAAAAGTGAATAAAAGATTCCTGTTTTAAATACCCTTAAAATTCTTCACAATTAATAAAAATTAACAAGAGGAAATTATTTTGACTTTCCCACTTGTTTATTGTATGTTTGTCCTTATTCCTTTCACAAACCATACACCACAATACCATGGCTACAAAACAGAAATATCAGAATATAAAAACAAAAAGGTTTCCTTCTTGACAAGTCGATTACAAATTTCACAAAAATTCCTGTTGCTTTAACGTGATGTATTGATGTAGTACTGTAAACTGATGTTATTTGGTAATATTTTAAACCAACATTACACAATGACAGTTTCACAGATCTAGGTGAAGCACCCTCTAAAGTTCAATGAAAGCTGCTCACCTAACTCCATTCCTTCATCGTGACATCACATTAGCCAAAGAGGGCATAAGTTCAGCCTGAATTGGTCCATAGTCAACAAGTTCGCCATCCACGGTCATGTGACCAGTTCCTGCTTCTGGTTCTAGTCTGAAGGCAGTCACAGGAATCATTTCTGCTCTTGGGCAAGTGAGATGGGATCCAGAGGAAAGGCCAAGAAGAAACTGAAACAACAATAAAGAATCAACGTAATTTTAAAAAAATTATTTACAAATAAACTAACCATTTTTATCTGACCTACTTACCTGCAATAACTGAGCTCTAGTAATTCCAGCCCTAATTACAAGGAGCCAAATGATGCCATCAGCTAATTTAGAATTTGGAGCAAATAGACAATCGGACCCCAAATGAGTTTGATATGAGGCATGCACCATAACAAATTCTCCTGTTAAAATAATAAATGGTATTAAAAAAATTGACATAAGACTTTGAAACAAATAATTGTACAAAAGACAATCCCTGGAAATATGACATTTTAATTGCTGTTTCAACTACCATCCACATTAAGAGATTAATGAACACAATGTCAAAATATGTCCTTTCAAAGCAAGAAAATCTGCCCTGTCAGCAAGCACATTCAAGACTTTTCACTAAACTGCACAGTGGAAGTTGGGGGGGGGAATAAAAAAAACACACACACGAGCATATTTACATATAAAATAAACTGTCTTCTATTGATGTGAAAAATAGTAAGTAAATCACAAGTTACAGATTGGCAGTGGTGGCTCATGCTTTCGATTTAAATATTTTGATAACTTGCTTGTTATATGTCTGATGCGGATTGAGTAGTAATAGAAACTTGGATTAATACCTCCCATGGAGTCTATTTGTTTTACAATTTTTTTAATTTATTATCCTATGTAATAGTAATTGTAAAACAGGTGTAGTGCAACTTTTCTGCTATTAGCAACATTCTTAGGGCTGTATAATAAATGAGAAAATACCGCTAGAGTGAAGCATGTTAGATACTTATTAATAGAAATCATTTAGTACGAGACGGTGTATAGCAGATGTCTCCTAGCTGTCCCAAAGTCACGTGACTCGAGTGGGAGAGATGTTGATACCCGCCACGCCTTTGCGCAATCTAGTATATCTCTACTCTATGCGTCCAGGTGGTCAGGGCTCATCCCAGTGAAGGCAACTATAAGTCCTCAAATTACCAAACTTGTCCTACAACAGTTCTTTTTCTCCAGATAAATTTGTCGTGTTGTCATACACATAAATGAGTCGAGTTGTCATTCACATGAACGTCCAATTGTACCTTCTGACAAGCGCATTAGAATAAAATAGAATTTCAACTAACCAGATTGTCGTAATAGAGACAAAAGCTTTCCAGTGAATAATTAATACAGTACCCGCATAATATTAAACACAATACGCACACTGTTGTTTTTCAGTGACAGTCATTCAGTGTAGCACCAGACTGTGACTGCGACTTTAAACGTACAGCCACAAATCAGATTAGGTAGACTCGCGTGTGTTCTAGTACACACCAGATTTTTACAGTTTTATGTAAACACCCTAAGTTTTTCTTTAAGAAATGGGCTGTTCTTGATTTATCCAATTAGGGTGAAATTTGATTATTCGTAAGGGTCCCAGTCCCAATTCATCTGGATAATACAAGTTGTGGCCAGAAAGGATAAGTAGTACTTGTGTCGTGGTCGGGCTGAGGCTCGCCATCCAGTTTGTATCGCGTGCGTTTTAGTTTACACAAGGTTTTTACACACTTGCATGTAAACACGTTTAGTTTATTTAAGAAATGACCTCACTCTAATCAAGATTTATCCAATTATGTGGATGTTTGATGGTGCTTTAGGGTCCTTTCATCTGGATAACTGGAGTCTTTGCCAGAGAAGGTAAATGGGCGGCCCCGAGCGGGGGCCGAGCGGAGCGGGGCTCACCGTCGATGGCCTTCCAGTGCGGCGGCGCGGGCTGCGTGAGCGCGGGCAGGCGCGAGGGCGGGCCGTACATGCGCACGCTGGACGCGGGGCCGCGGGGCTCGATCTCGCTGCCGCTGCCGCCCGCCGACGCAGAGTCCACCAGCGACTGGTAGCTGGAGCCCGTCGTGGAGAAGTAGGTGCTGCGGCGCGACGTGGCTGAGTAGTAGCTGTCGAGGCGGGGCCGCTGCCCGCTGCCGCCGCCCTCGCTCACGCTCTCCGCGTCCACGTCGTCCAGCGCCTGCGCACATTCAGTCTTCAGGGGATTTCAATTATTTGGTCAAAGAACAATAACAATTGCCTGTGATATGTTTTGATTGATTGATTAGATATTCCGGATGCGACAACTGCCAAGCTCATTAGTCGAGAAAGTGTAGAGCTCGATTTCATTGAGGGAGAAGTCTGTGATCTTCCCATGTAGAATGACGAGATCGGGCGGCGACCTACACGTCGGCTCGCAAGGTTTTCACAAACCATGCATCTCTCACCAGCTGGTCTCCCAGTATGTGAGGTAGTGTAGTGCATGTAAGTGTATGTGTGTAAAGAGTGAGGATAGGACAAGGAAGAGGAAGGAATGATAGAATGCGGTCCGAGGTCCGTTTGTTAAGGTACTACATCGGCATTCACCTAATGCTGATCGGAGAAACCTCGGAAAACTACAGATCAGAGCAGCCGGCCACTACAATTTTCCTTCCAACAGCGGCTGAATTCGACCTGTGAGAGGTAGTGTGAGCGTGTGGCTAGAGTTCAAAACCCTGCTAACGTCGGAACGAGAACCCTAGGACCTCCCGGTGAGAGGCACTGCTGTAGTATCAATTGATGCCCTGAGCCGTGAATATGATATATACTATAGGATTGCCTCCTGCTGGAAGCCAGTAACCCGGTGGTTTTTAACTGTGGAGCGGGGGGAGGGGGTACAAAAATTAAGTCATAATCAATGTTTTATTTTTTCAAATCATAAATTGACAATGTAAAGGATGCGGACGAAAGCATCGTTAACGTTAAATATATCATAGCGGCTGTCGAGATGCATACATTTTTCGCACTGTTTATTTTTGATTTTTAAATTTAGTAAATTGAAATTATTAATTGTAATAATAATTTATTTGAAAGAGAAAGAATTTGAATGCGAAATGTTTTTTCAACATTATAGTGTGGATTAACTGCATGAGCCGAAGAGATATACTGCTATTACGCTCATCACATCACGTACTTCTGCCAAACAATTCCGTATAGTTTTCACAACGAATTTAATTTCTCCTACAAGCCTGAGATTTTCTATATTAACTCGGAGGCGGGAGATTACTTCTGAAACTCAGAGGTGGCTACCCTAGTGACGCATGAGGGAGAAGTACCATCCGTGAACGATTTTTTTAGTCCAAAATATCTTTCCAATATTTTAACTATAAATATTTGAATGATAAAAATGGTTAAAAAAGAAAGCAAAGTTAGCAACATTTGAAAACGTGACATTTTCGCTCCCGAGTTAGAGAAAATTTATTTGCATCGGTAAACAAACTACAGATTTGATGTTGTTTGAATTGCTAACAAAATACTAACCAATCCCCCTCGGCTCTATTTCTTCCACTACTGGCAAAAGGAGAGCTCAAAATAAAAATCTTACGCATAATGAAGCTGCGGGTACTTAACCTACAATATTGATGCTGTGTTATTAGGATGGAACCATCGAGAACAGTTAACTTTAATGAGAACGTATAAGTGAACATAAACTTGGAATATGCGAACTTTGACAGTTGTCGGATTTTTCAAGTTTCCGTTAAGATGAAACGTACCGACGCTTTTAAATTTGTCGCCACCACGTAGCAGCACCAAAATAAGCCAAAATTACTTTACTAAATAACGCGTGACCAAGTGGTCCGATTTTCCAATCAGTAAACGACATATGATTTGTGTTTAATAAAAGAATTTACGTTACGAAACCTATTTGAAAAACATTGAAAAATTAGTTCTGGAAAATTGCAGTGCCTCTCACCGCAATGCCTATTCTTTCATTCACGTCCTGCAAATTTCTTTGAAAATTTTTGTAGTTTTAGTGTAATATTGCGTAAAATGTGCATAACAAAAATATTAAAAATAAGTACCCCAAAACGGCTGCAATTTTTATTGAAACTTTTAGTAGGGATGGTACTAATTGTCCTGTGCAAGATGACATAAACGCCGTATTCCTCTATTCTTTTTTTAACCTATACAATTGTTTTTGTTTTTTTTACATTTTTCTCACGTCCTTAATACGAGTATTTACATTACAGGCGACCTGTATACATTATTGCGTTTGTGAGTACTCGTGCTTTAAATAATGTCTCATTAATAGAGATTGTAAAAAAGTGTAGTATGAAACTTCAAAATGTGTACATAAATATGTAATGAAAACAGTAAGAATATGTAATAAATACGTAAAATAGGATAACATATGTAATATTACAATACACTAATTAAAAATTACATTTATAAAAATAATTCGAAATAAATTTTAAAAATACAATTTTTTTAAAAGTAATTTGGAGAGTACAAATTTATGCATGCTTTGTACCATACAACTTTCCCGTCAGTTGTGAAACTTTCATCTATGTCTATTTAGTACGGTCGTTTAGCAGCTAGACCAGACGCAATAGAAACCATCCTACAAACTGGAGATTTCTACGACCAGCAAACAATCACTGCAGCGTGTAGCATTCTCAGCGAAGAGTTACAAGTCGACGATCGGCAAAGTTACTCGGAAATTAATGTTAAAGGTCAACTCCTTGACCTAGCTGAAGTACAATAATTGTTACGGGTTCTTTGGAATTATTCAGTCCAAATAGTAAATATTACATTACATGTCAGTGTTAAATTAATATTGATTTCCTTTTGGATGCTTGTAATAGTCTCTGATTGTATAGAAACTCTTGTGCAATAGAAAAGATGTTACTTGGGACTTAAAACGATAAAATTCGATACAGAAGTTTTATGTCATCTGGCAAAGAGTTGTAAAATAATGTACATGTATTGTATGTGATTTTTTTGTAGTGGGCTGCTGATACTGGCACAATGATTGAAATGCACAAGGATTGTAAATGCCATATACATTTAATTTCAAAATTTTTATATTCAAAATGAAAACATCGCCCAATATCCATCTGGTTTAGGAATGTCTAACTTATTCACAGGAGGAATAATTCGATTTGACAATGACAGCACGCTCTTTTACCAATTTTTTAAATTTGTCAGAATGTACGAAAATATTATTAAAATTAGCTTCAGTTGTTTTACGTGGGGAAAGAAAATCAAAGTCTATTCTATCAAGCAGACAAACGCCGTTTTGAGATAAAAAATCGAGTCGTAGGATAAAAGTGCTCCTGCGTAATATCTGCTCATTCTTTCCGGCAGTGGAATGATAACCGAAGATCTTATATAAAATATATCTAAAATAAGATGTGAGATGGAATATTGATGATATTTATACAATTAGTTCAATTTTCTTTTTGAAATTAGTTACAAATTAGAATGATATTTTGAGTATTGCCTCCAACAATTTTATGGCGGTATTCGAAGGAAGACGGAAATATGTGAACAATATAAATAGTTTTGTACTACTATTACAGATGCTACGAGGTCGTTTGCTTCTTATACAGCATCACTAGTTTGATATGTGGGGAAAAATATATTGAGACGAAAGCATAATCCGACTGCCTGGTTTGCCTGTCCCGCAAGTTTGGCCTCCTCTGCCGGGTCTGGCCGCATGCCGCCAGGGCTGGCCGTGCCGCCGCGTCCAGAGAGGGCCCACAACGGGAGAATGATGCACCGGTGTGGAAGGGGGGGGGGAGGGAGGGGGACGAGGTTTTCCCCCAAATTTCACTCTACGACGCTCTTATTCATCCGATTTGCACAACTGACATGACGTTGGGAAGCACGTCGCCATCGCGCTATAAGCCCACATTTTATTTTTTTCTAGGAAGTTCGAGCACCAATTTCAAATTTGAGTTTTTGCTAGTGTTTTTTCGGGGAAAATAACTCCGTAGCGTAAATTCTATGGCTTAAAAATCCGTCAAATGCCGTTTACACATTGAAAATTGGACCATTGGTTCAGACTTTATCGGTAAATTCCCCTGTGTCAGTGCTGCGATCTATTGAATTTCCCTACAATTATTTTTCGGTACATTTAGCCTTAACGAAGCTTGAGAACTCACGCGATCGTGCCCCACATAAACATCCGAAGGTCTGGGGTTTTCGTTTCACAGAAGCAAGTGCAGACTGTAGAAGTCTAGACTGGCACTCATTTCCCACGAAATACTTCTAATTATCGCACTCGAAAGGAACTCTTGTATGATTGCGTATATTTTACTTTTTGGTCGATTGCCTTCATAATTTCCGTGACATTTTTGTACGAATTTCGCCGTAGTACCTAGTATTTGTTTTACACGTTACTAGTAAAATGTGGCGTCGCCGACGTTGTAAACTGTTTTCGAAATAGTTTCATATGTAGAAAATTTCTTTCATGCCCAGCTTTGTTCAAGTCTGTTCTTTCAGTATCAAGCATTGGACTAATCAATGAATTCTAGTATCTGATAGCTTTAAAATCTCGTTCAAACGTTCCCAACACCCATTCTTAGATACCTCCATAAGGGATATGAAATGGTCTTATTGCAATTTCAAAATTATAATTGCGGTAACAAATACTTGCCGGTTGTGATGCTTATAGTTGAATTTTAGTACAGCCATGTTTTTACGCTTTTTTGCTAATGTGCACATAAATGCACATAGCACATTTGCAGTAGCACAAATGACAAATGCACAAATTCGGATTATTCCCAATTAGTTCCTAAAATTCTGTCGCAACATTTTTTACAACTACATTTGATTCTTTCTCAGATTTCCTTAATACTTCCATAATTTTCTCTCCTAATTTTTGAAGAGATTGAAACTTCAAACACAGAGTCTAATTTGTGTTCACGTCTGCTTCTGTGTTCTAATTGTTCTATTAATTGTTTTATATGCAAATTTAGCGTTGAATGCAAATCTAACATTAAAAGGAGACTTTTGTATGTTTATGTGAATAAGGTGTTAAGTTTAATAAACATAAGTTGTGGGTCACATACATTTGAAAATCGATATTTGCATACAACGTAAATGTGAGGAGTCGAATGTGAGAAGTCGTTTATTCATTTTCTAGCATTATTCACAATTTTGTTTTCTCCGTATTCACTTGAAATTCGTTAATAAGTTCCAAGGCAATACTATTCGAAGGATTTTTGCAAATTTATTTTTAAACATACGTTAATTCGAATCTAAACTGAAATGCATCCATAGCACGGTTTACTTGGCGATTCAATTGTTCTCTTAAAGATGTCAACATAATTGTTACCAACGTCGTGAAAGAAAATTATGGCGTATTTTGCTACAAATTCGTTAGGCTTCGGATATTCAATCAATGCCATCTTCATACATCGATTAAAGATGTGTTGGCTTAATTCCTGACATTATCACTAAGATTGCGGCGTCAAAACACAAAACACGTCTTTGAAATTTATTTGAATCTTCTGGCCGGATCCGAAACCAAGTTATCAGTTCCCCATCAGGTGACCGAGAAGCGTCGAATGAAACCTAATACGTCTCGATTGGTGCACGGGAAGCGGTCTAGCCACCAGTGACGGAATCTCACACATCCGCACACCTGCACACTCAAGAGTTCTACTCGAATACTGTATACTGATGATTGAGGACTGGTCTTTATTTTTACATTGATGTGGATTGTGAATTTAACGCTCAAGTTTATATCGAAAGGTTTTTTTGTCAAACTCTGCAATTTCATTGCCAATAAGCCGAAAGTGTGTTATTTAAACTATCAAAATTCCCAGCAGGTTAATTAGGACTATCAATCTCCCGGAAAAACGCAAATTGTAATGTTAATTTATATACCCGGCTTGGTTTCGTGTGATGGTTTTCCTTGTGGAAAACATCTGTAATCTTTCGCAGTTGTTTTCCGCCTTGACGTCTTTGTTTATTATTTACAAGACATTATAATATTCAACTGCAATCCTTTATGCCTGTAAAAGTTATTTGACAAGTAAGCCCCGCCTCTGGCGGCAACTACTCGTGTGCCTGATTCGCACACTCGTTATGTTCACTCTATTACCTCTATTCAAATCCTATGCACATTTGGTCATCACTCATTCACAGAAGTTGTTAGATTCACGCGCTGGGCTTGAATTGACAGTATCGGAAGGGCGTACCGTTTCTGTTATGGCCCCGAGGAAAAGGTTTATACGTTTTTCGTATGAAACTGAGAGAATTTAACTTCTTTTGCGCGAAGGGGTTACGCAGTAATTTTTATCTCCAAGAGGGTGTGATATCCCTACATAAAAGAGTATTACTTCGTGAACTTGTAAAAAGGATGTCAATAAACCTGTTCAATGAAATACTGGCTTGGGCAATTTAAAAAGCAGAGCAGAAGGGTATCATCTAATATTGTAATGAAAAATGATGTTTTAACAATCTTCTCCTGTTACAGAATCTGAGTTACAAGTGCATCTGCCGTGCGCCGGGATTGAAAACCGAAATTTCTTTATTCCCTCCCGCAGCAAATATCAAGCCCAGTCTTAATTTGACTGATTATTTTGTTTCTAGGAGCGTCAACTACTTAGTAGCTCAACTAATTTGTTTCGTAGGTGCATTTCATGTTAAATTCCGGCGCCGCCCAATGTCGGACTACGAGATTTCCCTCTTCAGGAAGATCTGTCAGCGGGGCGCCGCCCTACGGAACGAGAAAAGTTCCCACATGTGTAGTGCACGTGTGTAAGGGGATGAGGAAGGAAGATCGTGTGTAGCCCGTGTGCCCTTTGTTAAGGTACTGCTCTGGCATTCGCCTGATACGATTAAAAAAAACAACAACACGGAAAACGGTTGTTCTTCAGACAGGAGCTGAATTTGATATAGCTATCTAGCTACGGTCGAAAATCCCCCACAGTCGGGATTCGAACCCTAGAACCTCCTGGTGAGAAGCGCTGGAGTGGTAACTGGCTAGCCAATAACTAAAGTGGTCTACGGTACGAATCACAATGTGAATTCAGACCACTTAAGTGACTAACATTAAAACCATAAGCCAATATTAAAGTGGTACTTTTATTGCGCGGCATCTAATATAATGGACACATAGACCACTTTATAATGTATAGATTCTCACCTGTTCAGATCACATGTACCATATCCTGGATTTTAGCCAAAATGTGTCATAGACCACTTAGTTCCAGGCCAGCCAGTCGATCCCCTGAGCTCCCGCGGCCCCTCTCATTTCTTTGCAAGCGAACGCAAGTGAGGAAGCTCTCACCTGTCCGAGCGCAGTCTCCAGGCTGAGCGACTCGGAGATGACAGCGTCGGCGTCGCCGTTGCGCTCGCCGTCGGGCGTGATGCAGTCGTGGAAGCTGAGGCTGCTGTGCACGGGCGTGAGCGCTGCGTGCGCGTGCACGTGCGCGTTGCTCAGCCCGTCGCCGCCCTTGGCGCCCAACGTGGGGCAGTGGCTGGTGCTGCGCGTGAGGAAGGCCGGCGCGGGCGGCGTGCCGCCCTGCGATTTGTAGCCCTCCAGCGGAAGGTACCACAGCTTCCCACGGTACGTCCGCAGACCTGCACCCACATGCTACGCATGATGCATCGAGGCACTCAAGACAAGGAGCAAAAATAAATTTTTACTCCATCCGATTAATCGGAAAACAAATGGACATAAATCACGAGTCATTTCGAAATTGTAATAGGAGAATGTTCTTGCATTTATTTATAGGCAGTTTGTTTGAACATTACTAGCGATTACACACTTATTTCTTATTATAAATGCTTCTAACGATTTTTTTATTACGTTTATCGAAATACCAAAGTTTTCGATGGAAATTAACTCAAAATTGTGCATTTTCAGAAACGTCCGAATGACATTGTCTGAAAAACCTACTCCACATTTTTTCTTTAAACGTTTTCATGTGGTTAGTATATGCACTGAAAAACACGTTTCCATTTATTCTTGGGATTTTTCAAAACTTACAAAGTTAATAATTAATATTACAGTTAATTTAACTTTTACACCACAGGTTATTTTAATACGTTATTGCATTCATGGGCACAAGCACTTTAAATGATTTATTATGAAGTTTCTCTAAAAGTCGAACGTTTTCTACGAAAAAACTAATTTTCGCATTTTTAAAGGGCTCAAACGAAATTATCTACAAAATGCTTCTATTTTTTAATGAAAATTTGTAATTATGGCCATGATTTTCTCTTCTATTAAATTTGAGAGGGATACTTCAATTCTATTATTAAGGGACCGAATAAATAAATATATGAAAAACAAATTTAGACGCCTATAGCGTGCAGCTGGGAAGAGGATGGCGGTTGGTAATGGATGATTAAGGTTTACGAGCGCTTCAACAGCTAAGGCCATTGACGCCGTATCTAACTATTTTAAGATAAATACGCAGTATACCAGTGTAAGACTAAAAAATTGTCAATGCCAAGTAAAATGAGAGAAAAACTAAAAATAATCGTGTTTAGTTATTTAAAAAAGGGAGTTGGCAGAAAAGAGCCAGATAAACACTTAAAAATCTCCAATTAAAAGCCACATAACTGGCATAATCCTCTTCTCTTAAACAATACCGTAAATTTCTGTCTCGGAAGAAGCTAAAATGTTTGCTGAGAGAAGATTCGTCATTTCCAAGTACCTGTGCTGGGGAGCTAGCAAGGTGAAGCACTCGGTGGCTATCTCTTACCTCTGAACAGTGCAGGAGGACATGCTGGTTATTCAAGTTTTGAATATGCTTTCGCCATGTTAAACTCTTGTCGAATGTCAGCCCAAGAGAAGTGGCAGATGACGAAGGTAAGTTGATGACCCCCCCCCCAAAAAAAGATCAGAGAACGAAAGAAGTGGAGATCTGTGTGACAAGATCTGTGTGACAGAGTGGTCCATGTGCTTGCTGAAACCACAGAGGTGTAAATAGATTCTTTTGTTCCAGGAACTAGATCAGATGTTTGTTTACCATTCGCTCTAAAAGCTTACACACATAGCTTGTGAGCGAGATAGGGCGGTTACTTGAAGAGATTGTTGTGCCCTAGGGATGGGAATGACAATGGCTTCACGCCAAAACCTTGGTAAGGAATATTCATCTTAAATCAGGTTGACAATGCGGAGGAGAAAAGAACGAGCATTTTCCAGGTGTTTAAGCATTTGATTATGTATCTGGTCCGGTCGTGGAGCAGAATATTTTGCACAAGCGAGGGTACAGGAAAATTCATCCATGGAGAAAGTCGCATTGTAATATTCCTCCACACTACTCGAGAAATCTAGTCTGCAATTCTTTATTCTTCTTTTGGTCTTCAGAGAGCTAGGAGGGTAGTGTACGGTGACCGGATATATGCTCGTAGTGAGGGGCCAATTTTTCAACTATATCTGCTGGTAAGGTGAGTAGATTTCCTTTTACCAGAAGCCCTGAGACAGACGGCGAGGGAAGTCTTCCACCAATCTTTCTCTTTCGCCAAACTACTTTAGGGGGCGTACTGACAAAGTGATGAAATATAAGCTTCCCAGGACGCGTCCTTACGTATATTGCCTCTCGAGAATGTCCTTGTGCTACACCAGGCGGTATTGTGGGCATTTAAGTCCACCAATAATAAGAAAAGGGGCGGGCAACTGAGAACCCACATGTTTAAGTTTTTGTTGTGACACGACTTGGTCAAGAGGAATGTATATATGTGCCCCTGTTAGCGAAAAGAACGGGAGCTGTATCCGAACGCAAATAGTTTGAAAGTCTGTGGTGTTCCCTAGAAAACGGAGTAAAGGATAAATACCGCAACACCACCGTGAGCACGGAGTCCGTCATCTTGATCAAACCGATAGATATTAAATCCAGAGACAAAGGGATGATGAGTTTCCTGAAAGTAGGTAAGGTAAACTATAGATGGTCTATGGCGAGAAATTATCAATCTCAATTCTTCTGAGTGAGTACGAAAGTCGTTTAGATTCCACGAAAGAGCCAATGTAAGGAATTACTTCTTTGGCTTTTTTTCTTTCTCACCTACTAAAAAGTTGTAGAGGAACGCATGGTGCATCTCGTCAACAGAAGATTCATCATGACTGCTGCTGGAGATGGTCGACTGCGTTGGGGGGATTTTGCCATACGCGAACGAGATCTACATGGGCTGAAGGTTCGCTCAATTGGAGTGAGTCGTAGTAAGAATACTGGACTTCGATAAAGAATTTCTGTTCAGATGGGATAAGGGATCTATTTCCTTAAGAGTCTCAGTAGATGTGTTCTGTGGCTGGTGGAGTTTTTGGCTTCGTTTTTTAAAAACTTTGATGGTATTACTCGCGCAACTTTTCTTGAACGATGACCTTGATCCCCCTCCCTTGTGCAATAAACTGTTGAAGGCAAAAGCTCGCAACGGGCACTGATGATAACCTTCCAAGCATTAAAACTTCGTTGGCGCGAAATAGAAGCCAGTTGCTTTCATAGTGCAGAACCCATGTTCACATTTATTGTCAATATCGAAAGAAATGGCAGAGTCAGGTCCAGGTTCTTCAAGGGAGTCACCTAAAACTCACGAAAAAGTTAAGCACAAGATGCAATTTTGACTTTCATTTCACACACGTTGGCAATACTTAAAATACTCTAGTGGCCGACTTAGTAACTAATACCCCCACTCCACCCAAAATTGTTAATCCATCGTTCAAGAAAAGTTGCCCGAGTAATATTATTACCTTTTTTACCTTGTATGCACGCCGTATCATCAGGGAAGTCTATAGGCGACACCTGACAACTGAAGTGCGTTACTAGAGCAGGAGCACGTGTTTGACAACATGATTTGACCACTGAGGACTCGTTCTTTAAAGTACAAGAGAAGGATCGTGACTGGATTTCTAGCCCAGTGCCGGCGTTTGGCCTCAGGAAAGGAAACCTTTTCGATGACTTATCGGAATCTCTCTTTCCAGGAGAAAAGTTGGGCACTGGTTGTAGTTGGCTGAATGTTCACCTTCACATTTGACAGAGAGATGTGGTGTAGCGCAGGGTTGTGGATCGTGTGCTGATGCACCGCATTTCCCGCACACTGGGCTTCCCGACATACACCGTTGTTGGGAATGCCCAAACCTTTGACACTTCAAACATCGCAAAGGATTCGGTACTGTCGCACATTGAGGTAGTACAAACCACAACTGATCCATTCCCGGAGAGATGGACGGTCAAAAGTAAGGATAAGGGCTGAGGTAGAGACCTCATTCCCCTACTCTTTCCTTTTGATCCTATTGACTTCAGTCACGACCTGACTCTTGAGGAAGGAAATTAGTTCCTCTTCTTTCTCGGAAGCAAAGTCTGCGGGATTCACTACGTCTTTGCGCAAGTTCAAAGTTAGGTGCGTCGTTACCACCACCTGGAGGACGGCAATTTGTGTGTTTTTTTTTTAATAATGCCAATCTGCTAGTCTATACGTGCTTCAAAGAGAATCCATTTCTCTGTCGCACGACCGCTTGGATCTTCACGAATGTTTTCTCCATGACTCGCGCCAGATGGACAGCACATACGTTTTTAACGTTTTTCCTTCCTCGTTGCATGCCATGGGGAGGAAACTAGGCTCTTGTGGTCTCTCGGTCATCTTTTGCAAAGAAGAACTATTTAAATCATAGTTCGTTCCTGATATCTCCTCTCACTTGCGAAAGAGGTCGGGAGAAGAGGTTCAGTATCCATGAAGATGGAAATAATTTAGTGGTCCCCACCCTCCATGGAGCCCAACAAGAGGACACTCAAACGGAGTGCCAGGGTTGCCACGGAGATATAGCGAGGGGATGACACAGCGCTGCCCCCCCGCGGATCGCCCGCTCACCCTGGAGTTCAGTTTAAGACCTAGTCCGAGCCGATTGATCGGGAGTGGGTTAGCTCCCGACTGCCCGTCTAGAAGAGTCCGAGGCTAAAGCAAGAATGTTGGAAACCTAAGGACGTCTATCTACGTGCAAAGTGTAAAGTAGCACAAGGAGTAGTTGGGATACAATCAGGTCCCTCAACTGCCAGGAGACACATCCCCTCCGACACGGGTCGCCATGCACGGCAAACACCTGGTGGGCGTTCAGCATACGGGGGGGGGCAATGAAATAGAAGGGTTAGAAGAAAAGAGACAGGATGTTATCAAAGAACGAGAATGAACGGAGGGAAGATAAATATGACTGGTGAAAGAAAGTAATACTTGAGAGCCCTCTCTGCATCCCTCCGTCAGGACGTGGACCGACCCACCTCGAAGGATGGCGGCAAAACCAAAAAGCTACTCCAGACAAGAGTTGGTAACTAGTACGAGAAAGTCTGTACCATGCTGTAGCACCACTCGTTTATTTTTTTTCTATTTTCCGTCAAAAGATTATCAGAGTAACTCAGCCATTTCTCAACACCAATTGGGTCTACTAAATGTAATTCTTCGGTAGTAAAAGATTTCACAGAACGATTTACACACATTTCTTGCCTTCCACAGCGAGCGAAAGAAGAGACGTAGAAACAAATGAATCGTCCGACAAAGAATCACACGGATATTTTGCGAAAACCCTTTGTTCGAGTACGATCCATTAATCTTTAATTCAAATTAAAATACTTATTAGGGAAAAGCTTGAGCTACAAAATCCCACTTTTACACTACAGAGAAATTCAAACTTGTTTTTCTAAAAAAACTGAATTTTTACGCCATAAATTACGTATCTTTCTCTTTTCTATGAATATTATTCTGATTTAGCTACAAACGTAAGTAAAATACGGAATAACCTTCTTTGGTCTTTTCTAATGGAGAGTTTTTCCACATCGATGCTTAAACATAAACGGAACCGACTATTGTCACGTGACGCCGGAAACACCAATCACGCCCTCTGAAACAAACATAAGAGTTAACCGGGCCCGGATCGGTAAGCGAAGCTCTGTACGTGGATGGAAGCCAGTGAGGAGGAGTATTGAAATTCTTGTGGTTTCGCAAACGGGGAAGACCTTTAAAAGAAGAAACAATTCAACGTTCCAAATTTTACAGACATTATAATTTCAGGTCAATTTGGTTCTAAACTTTACAGCAGCATGGCATTTTTCTATATCGTACATATCAAAATTTCCAAGCATACATGCTTCAATTAATTTTTAGGTAGTAGGGAACAACATATCCAGAGAGTAAAAACAAGTGAACACCTAGCCACACTTCTCAATCGCTTCTCGGCGTTGTTTCCCCGGAAATAAATGATTACGATGTAAATAATCGAAGAACTTAATGGAAACCACTGTATACAAAATGAGAAAATCGATAACCAAAATCGGAAAGGCACCAAACATGTGTAATTTAATACTGTTGCTACTAAATGTCAGCATTTTATAAGCGTAACCGCAAGCGTTATGCAAAAACTCTTTCTTTGAACTTCACACAAGATTCGACGTTACGTTAATTATGACCGTTAACGTTAGCCGTTTCAGTTAAGTGTAAAAACACTAACAAGTATCATCCCTAACGCAAAGGAGATGGAATCTATGGGCAAGGTTTGGTGGCAGGAGAACGGGGGGACAAGGGGATGAGTGCAGGACACTAAGGCGACGGAGGTTCTGAGGAGGAGGACGATGAGGAGGTGGCAAAGGGCCTCACCTATTAGACGCGCGACGCTCCAGATGGTGAAACGTTGGCCGCCGATGGCGCGCAGCCGTTCAGACTCGATGTCGATATCGGAGAGGAAGCCCCAGCCCACGGACAGGAACGAGAACAGGATCTGCAAGCACAGCAAGACACTGCCACGGAGGGGGCGGCCACAGACAGCTTACGTGGATTACATTTTGGCACGTATTCCACACAATGATCTGACTCCTCTTTTATCACGAGACTTCTGATTTGATGAGCATTAAAAACATCATTCGAGATAACATTTTTATTCAAATGGAGTCGATTACTAAGTGTAACGGAAGATCTGATGATGCTTGCTGATTGTTAAGCCGATAAAAAGTCTCTTATGAATCAACAACGCTGGCAAAGACAACTCCAAAGTATGAAAGAAGTAAAGTTTACTTATAATTTTGGTCAAAGTGGAACCAGACCCTCATTAATAATTACTTAGGTTTACATCGACTTAGTTCACTATCATATTCGCAATAATTGCCCCTTGACCCACAAAAATAAAATCGTGTGATGTTTTATCTTCACAGTGGAGGATTCGGGAGGGGGCGGCGGCGCTTTGACCTATTGCTAACGCTTATAACCAGGGGGATTGTAATGAAATGTCATCTTTTTTCTTTTCACTTTTGAACAGTGCCGCTCAGTATAGAAATTCCATTTTATGTTATGACAAAACGAAATGACCCATTTTTATGCGTCATATTCTTGCATTTTTCGTTGATGACTAATAAGTCATTTTTTACCCTTTTATATCATTTTTAATGCATTTCCGCTCATTTCATTCATTTTAATGGTACTTGCTTCAAACAATATTTAAAACGAGCAACAAATGTTCACCACAGAATTCCTGAGTAGCATATTCCATTTAATCGCTCATACATTGTAATGTCAGCCGTTGTAAGTACTATGTAATCTAAGATTCCTGTTACGCCTATCGGTGCCATTGTCAGTTCGGCCGACTTTGCGATAAACAAAGGCAGATATTTTTCTTTAGAGAACGGTCCAAACCAAAAGTTCGCAGGGTGAGTTCATTTGAACGAAAGGAAAGAGTCTAGATTACATCCGTAACATACCCAACAGTTTGAGTTGTTCATCTGCAGTGGTTTTGATCAAACTTTTTACGTCCTTTTTCTTTGTTTTTAGGCTATTTTTTGAAAAATTTAAAGAGCATTTATTCATTATTTCGGCAATGTTTTAGGTCCTCAAAATCGCCCCCTTCTTATAGCCGTAATGTTTCACGGGTTGTCAAACTGTGTCGCGGCCCCCAGGGCCGTTCCTGCCACATAATAGGGGCGTCGTGGTGATTTATAAAAAAATATTTTTATATTTGATTTACTTTAATCTTGGTGTCATTTATGTCTACAAATTAATTTTGTACCATAATACATTTTATTAGTAATATATGATTTATTTCACACATTAATTGTAGATTAATTGAGCCTGGCAAGTTCTGTACCAATAGCCTATTATATCACTCATTTGTGTTGGATCTTTAGTAGGGCCTATTTTAATCCTTATATTTGAAACACACTTCTCCCCGTAGCACGTCACACACAGGTTAATGGAGCCGTGAACGAAAAAAGGGTTCAAAACCCTTGGTCTATATGAATGGCGCGAAATCGCAAGAGGACGAAAATCTCCTGGGAGCGGGATCTCGTAAGAGTTGAAAATGTTATCTCTCACTGTCAACCCCAGGATTTTGATAGCGCGGACACCGTAACGGAGAAGTATTTGTGATCGGGAATTTTCTTCCGAGTAATGGTATCAATAGACCAAGTATATTTAACATTTTAACAACAATAACATTCAGTTATAATTAAATATTTCGCTAACAACGCAGGTTCAATTTTCTTACCGCTGGTACCACCAACCGGGAACTTTGAAAAGCTAAAGAATTTCAGAAGAAGAAGAACAGCCGTAGTTATTTTGCAACAACTTTCAATAACTTGCCGTAGGTCGAAAATTGATACTACCATAAACCTGCGATACAGTCAATAAACGCTGATCTTTCTTTTTTCCAGAACAGTTAATGGCAAACATTTTGTTCCTACCGCCCATTTAGCCACGGCATATGCTTGACAATTTAGAAGAACGCCCCACACTCAACAATCATCGAATCTAGCGGGCAAACGAAGCGAGCCATTTCAAATTTGTCTCTTTGTTATACTTGCGTGAAGAAAGCTAAGGGACTGAGCGCAGAAGAATGGGGTGATGAGATCCTAATTTCCTATAAAGCATTACGTATCTCGAAAACTAGTAGTGTTAGCGCCGATCAGAATACGAAAGTTTGTATCTCGTTTAAACGCATATTTGGTGGGACAAAAATGGCAACATTTACATAATCATAAACAACACCCAACTAATGAATATATAAGCAGGGAGATGTCCCCCGATGTCTGGAGTCGAAAATCGATATAACAATGCTGCAAAAATGAACTATTGTAGAAAGTGCAGTTGAACATTGCAAAATAGCAATTTCGACAGGAGTTGCAAATTAATTGCTAAGAGTTGGCTTTAATGTTGCTAAAAATTAATTATTCACTGGTCTATATACCAATACTCAACCGAAAGCGCCGCTCACAAATCATTTTTTCGGCGTGAGTACACGCAGGCAAAAATCTGACAGTCGAAAGCCAGAGATCATTGTTCATCCGCCTCCTACGTAAACCAATGCGGCCTCGCCTCCCTGGAGAGCGTCTTCCCCGCCCCTTGTTATTTCGCTCCAATTGTAGAGACACGAGACAAGATTCTCAGTGCAAGCAATTTCTTCAATGTCATTCTTCCCCGGATTGGGGATTGTACAAGAAATTCTCCAAGGTTGTGAAGATTTAATTTCATACGAAACTTTTTTCTTGGAGCTTGGGTACATAAGGGGAAAAATCTCTTGTTTTGTTCTCCGATCTCATGACATTATATCCACGAATTCTCGTGCTCATCTACACTTAGTTTTCAGAATTTTGTTAACAGGACTCTCGGTTCGAAAAAAATTACGTTTCGTGATAGTAAAAAAAAATTGGCGTTCACAACAACGTAATAGGGAAATGGCTACAATTGCAATAACACACAATGCCATGGCTCGTATTTTCTTTTAAATATGAATGAATTTCAAAAGTGTGTTATGACACATGTAGCAAAATAATATACAAAATTAAGTTATATGCACTCTATGTTTTCTCGTCTGAACTTCGAACTTTAGCTAGAGTAAGCCCATCGCATAGCACACTAGGTCGCGTCTCTTCGACGCAGAATTGATTATTAGGTTTTCTTCTCCGACCTGAAAAATCACTATCAATAACTATCAATAACTATCCTCGAACGTAACAGTAAAATGAGTACTACGACAATACTATTGAATTAAATACCCGTGTGTTTTACATCGAGTTTTGTGCAGTAAATATAACAGACTATTATTTATTTATTTCAGCAAATAATTGCTTGAAGACTTTCATATGCACGACTTACAAAACACTTGAAATAAGACATCTTAATGAATAATGAATTATGAATATGCATAATGAAAATGTTATTCAAACTTTTTAAATTTTAACTGCAAATTACCTGCGTTTTTGTCTCTACGCGGACAAGGTCCATTGGCATGCTGCGGCATTTAACAATATTCAGAGTTGATATGAGGACAGGATTCTGATCGTACGGTTCTCTGCAAAATGATTTCACTTATATTGATGAAGTGGAATAAAAACAATAGAGTTTACAGTGCACATTCATTTAATTTCCAAGGACTTACTCCATGGCGTATGCAATGGTCTTCGCTAGTCCGTTTCCAGAACCACAAGGGATGACTCCTACGGGCACTTCCTTCACTGCTCTCTCCCAGTCTGGTCGTTCGAACATCCCGTTGAACACCTGGTGGACACGTGGGCAACACACAACTAGTTATTTAAACTCCGCACATTTTTCAAATCAGTGAGTACTTTAAATACATATATTAAAGATATATTGGTGGATAAACAGTAAATTGTTCGAATAAGTTTCGTGTATCACAAAATACATTACCACTTTATGCGCTAAATACATACGTATTTAAAATAATTAAAATACTAAAAAAACTAAATATATAATATTTTTCTATTGTAACTATACTTATTGTATTGTATTATATATTGTAAATTAGTATTTGTCATATAAATTTCTGAACAGTAACTAATGTATTGTAACAATATCAATAAACATTTTCAAATATAAAAATGATATAAAAATGCCTAATGCAAAGAAATGGAATTTTCTTTTAAAACTACTAATTTCTCAACCACATCATTGGACAATAAACCCCTAGTTGGCGAATGTACAAAACCTGCAAAGAAAAACGGCCGGTCATTCAACCGGCCTGGTTGAACATAAACTAGAGTTGTAACAAATATGCGCTTTTTGTATTGTCGGATAATTGCATTTTTAATGATTTAGATTTATCGACGCGACGAATTATAAGGTAAAATTTTCATAACCTCGAAAAGGTGCCAAATCAGAATAGAAGAAATTGAAATAAAAAAAAAAATCCCAAAAGATCTCGGCGACAGAGTAAAGCTAGCGGTTTTGTTTTGTTGAAAAAATAATCGAAAAAAAGGACTGACTGTAGAAGACGCAGAGAGATGATAGATACCGAGCCAACAACAAGGTGTAACATATAGCTGGCAATTTTCGTATTTCGGAGAGAGTAAAATTAGTTATCGAAGAGAAGGCGTGTTGGAGTGTGCGCTCACTTAAGTAATTAGGTAATTAGGATTCAATGGAAGTAATGGTCTTAGTAGGTTTTACGTAGAAATCCATAGGTAATGTGGAAATGACGAGCCCAGCTGACGGAAAGGAATGGTGGAATGGTGAAATGGTGGATCGAGCGAACTGATGGGCTGACGACCACATCATTATATTCAGGGAAGTGGGCATCGACAGATATTACTCGCGCGTACAGAATATATATTTATGAGAAGGCCAAGCACTGTAATTAATTTGGTAAATACCTTGAAATAACGTGGGTGTCCATCCAACTAATGACGTGTACAGTATGAATGGGACTTGTGTAAATATTTTTTTTGCATAAAGTGCGAATGTGAGGTTAGATTCATTTTTATTCTGTTAAATGGCATTTCTTGTTTTGTGTTATGATTTTATCGGCAGCGTCCCACATGGAAGTGGCTACGGCGCAGATTAGCATTGCCGAATAAATTAACGGTACTATCGGTCCTGGTGCTGAATATATTTGAATGATGTGTATGTTTTTTTATTTATGGATCAAGAAAGGTAAAATTGCCTCCCATCCCCAAAACAAAGAAAATAATGATAAGTATCATTTCTCTATCCTGTACAGGAGGGACTTCAGTATCACGATCCTAATACAAATATTCTAGTGCCAATTCCGCTGGAGCCGGAAAGATTAGTATTAAAATTTAAACAGAGATTTTGAATATCTGGTAAAATAAATAAGAGATGAGAAAATAATTACAATACGGATGGAGGCACGACAGGACGGTTACACTAATATCGATCGATTCTAATTGATCCCATTTTGTCAGTTTTCTGAAAACATTTTCATGTTTTTTAGAGTACTACGAAGCTACACTTTAAAGTTTGTGGAAACACAACTTGAAATCTATCACGAGTATCATCTTATCCTGTTGATTTAACATACACCATTCCGAAGATTCTATCACGTTCACCTGTATTTCAGGTTTTCTTTGGACTGATGCAAGAATATCTACTTTTGAATTGAAACTTAATAAAAAAATACTCCTTGCAAATCAGCGGATGGAGGAAAGGGGATGCAGTCTATGCCTTCTCAGGAAAAGAAAAGTGAACGAAAATCAGCTGGGAAGCGGAGGCTGAGGCTGAGGCTGAGGCTGAGGGGAAAATGGCCGCGGGCTGCACTCGGGCGTTCCATCTGGTCAGGCTGGAGGGCGGGCATCAGCGTTCTGCCGGCGATGAAGGCCGTGCCTGTCATTAGGCTAGCTAACATTAACAGAGGCGGGCGTCTGGCCCCGATGCGTTTATGGAGCTCATGCGATAACTTTCAAATGTGAGATCATCTGCTCTACCAAGAACACTTCCTCGATGTCGCAGTTCGCACGCGAGATATATTCGCGGCTGCTTCGCTTGGAAAAGGTTCTTTAAGTCGCGACCTCATCCAAGGAAAGCACCTACATTGGCGACCGTCGCGCACGAGGAGCTTTTCCTATCTCTTCACGGACTCTGCCCTCGAATAATAAAGATTCCCCTCCTCCTACGCGACTGCACATTCCTAAATGTCCAAAATTTGAACCAGTAATGAGGGAGAGGCTCTTGCACCAACCAATACGCTAGCGTTATATTTAGAAAAAAATCGGTGGCCATTTCTAATGGCCGGCCTGTTCCATTATTAATATTTGCCTTGTTTAACAGAGCGAAGAAAACAATACCGACGTAATTTAGCAATGGCAAAAAAAATGTTAAGCCAGTAATGCCAAGCCCAAAAGGAAAGGGCATCATGGAAGTTTTTAAAATTTTTCTATAAGATCAAAAAATAATTCCTTTTCTTAAATGTGCGAAAGTCCCATCGATGATAAAGATATATTTTGCCAAGCATCCGATCTCTTATTACAATACGAGACGAGGTGGCTAGTTTGATAACCAATCGAATATTGTATTAAGATGTTTGTATACGAATGTTGTAAAATGGTTTATCTTCGTTGTAAATATTTCAATGTATTAATATTCGTTTAAATTTGGTTCTTTACTCCGTGAAATGTGATAGAATTGTATTGATAGAGGGTATTAGAAAACATGAATTACTAGAAGACGGGAGTCAGTCAATGTTAACTCCGAAACATTCACAACCTTGAAACGGTCCTAAGCAGTCAATGTCATGCCATTTACCTGACAAAAACACTCCTACAAATTGGGTTACTTACCAATTAGCGGTAAATGTCACATGTATAACTTCCTTGTATTACATCTTCTACCACGATTTTCCTGTTAAAAAATAATTAACCTTCCTACATGCGCCAGAAATTTGTAACATTTACTGTGAAAGACCGTAGTTGTTAATAGTGTGTCATGAAAACCCTCATTTCCAAACATTTCAGTTTCGTGATTTTAACTTTCAATAATCAAAATAGATCATTTTTATCGAGGTGTTTCATTAAAATTCCCGAATTTCCCCCCCTGTTTTTCCACGTATTTCAAAAAGTGGCCATCCTGTTTTATAAGTGAATTAGATAACTTCAACCAAATCGCCTTGCTCTCGGGAGGACTCACCTCGAAGACGATGCCGTCGCCGCCCACGACGACGACGCCGCGCCACTGGTAGATGTCCTTGGTGCGCACGAAATCGCGCGCGTAGTTGGCGTGCTTCGTGACGTAGAGGTCGTAGGGCAGCTCGGCCTCCGCCAGCACGGGCACCACGCGCTGCTGGAACATCTCGCGCGCCTTGCCCGGCCCGCTCTTCGGGTTGAGCAGCACCAGCAGCTTCTTCTCCTCGCTCACTGCAACGAGTCAGGCGCTCGCTTCAGCACACAGCTCAGCCCGGCTGGACTGCGCTCGGCCGAGCTCAACCCAGCTCTATTTTACTCGCTTAATCATATCCCTTGTACGGACTTCTACTCAACTAAACTAAACTCAACTTAACTCCACCATCTCAGCAGAATACCTTTAACATTAGCCTAGGCGGTATCTCCTCAAATTCAGCATAAATTCGACAGTGTTCCATATAGTGATGTAAAAGTTATTCAAAATGTATTTTTAAATACATATTTTTTCTCACTATATTTCTATTTAAGTTTAAATGACTTCTCCATTTGGAGACCTCCCTTGGGAGAATATAGCCATTTTCTGTAACTCGGGCAGTTTAATTTCTTGCACATTGTGATCGATATATTAAAGAGTTAGACTGCTACTATAAAGCAATTGCATTGCATCTTGAAAACAATTTTATTTATCCAGACCTACGAAGTCTTCTTCCAACTTATTATGCAAGTATTACTCACAATCACTAAAAATGATTTAACGCGCTTGGTCAATGTCATTTGATTGATTACCTTTTTACTGGCTAACAAGTACGTAATAATGTTACATCGTATTGCAGGATACTATTCTCATACTTTATTTCAATGCTACATATTTGCTAGAACACATTTCTATATTTTATTCAACTACTATGCTTGTGATTTTCTACCCAAATAAAATTATCGCACAATGAAATTCAGACAACTTAACGCGATAATTACCATCAAGTACTTAACACTTGAAATCTATTTCAATAGTGGTCCATGATATCCCGAAGTTGGGAACGCATCCGCATTTGGATTATAAATAGAGAAATACCATTTTTCGTGAGTAATGTAGGCCATATTTAGGTCAAGATACTGGAGGCAATGGAAATGAATGGGCATACAACTCACGGCACGGAGTCGACATCCTGCACGTGGCTGTTAACTGAAAACCTGTCCTAAATAATCTTGAATATTTAATTATACTAACCCACAGTAATAATAATTTTATTATAAGCAGTTGGAATATCAGAAAAATATTTCACAGGAATACTCGTTTATTCCTAATCTGCATTCATTAAAACGTACAAGATTAAGGTTTATTTTATAATAGAACATTAAATTACATTGACTTGTCCAATTAATTCTTCTTAAGAGTAATTTTTTTTAAATAATATAAATCCGTGGGAAATTTTAACGGTTCAATAAATCATAACATGAAACAGAGGCTTTATTTTTTAGACAACGTGCAGAAACTCTTCTGGAGAACTTTTCGGCGTACTCACAATTTTTTAGTGATTACCCGTCCATTGTATGACTTGTCTTCAACATCTGAGCTACATAGAAGTTTACCGAGAAATGGAGATACAAGTAAAGGAGACGGCAATTTGGGAAACTTCAGAACAGGACAAACATCTGACAAAGCTAATTCATCTAACAAGTAAATTCTGTTTTTTCTCTGGCATGGAATTTTTCCAGCTGAAGAATGAAGATGTACAGAGACTAAAGTATAATTTCACACATCATTTTGCATGTGGTGAAAACAGTGTTAGAAGTTGTTTTTTATTAAAGCTCCCATGAACCGTAAATAAGGGTACGTTATTGAACATATTTCGAATCGAATACAACGTAACAGGTGTCAGAAATCTTAGGAAAAACTTTTGTATTGTTGTGATTATCTTGAAATTTTTAGAAATTACTTTTGAGGAAGTTTAATTGAAATTATACTACAATGAAAAAGGAAAATTAATACTATAGTGTTTAAAGGAAAATAAATGTTTATCACACATTGAACAATACACGTCACTATAAAATAGCATGTTCCGCTATATTAAAGTATGTAAAAGTGATCGGAAATTAAAATTTATCCATTCAAACTTTTAAATTATTATTATTACTATTATTATTACTATTATTATTACTATTATTATTACTATTATTATTACTAGTATTACTAATTATGTAATCATTACTTTGCATAAAATATATGATTTCCCATTCTATAAAAGAAAATTATTGTACGTGAGTTACGAGAGTTACCGATTGTAGTAAAGAAAATATTTTAACTTTTTAAATTTATTTCGAAGGTTAAATTCTTTTATCAGTCAATAACATTATTAAAGTACATCCTTATTACCCGAAGCTGATAAAAAAATACGTATCTCGAGAACGCATCGCGTGGTGTAGTAAACTACGTAATTTGACGCCATCTAACATGACATTTCAACAAATATATTTACTAAAACGAATAGAATATAATCAAACAAAATATTACACACGACGATAAAATATTTTTAATATTACTCTCAGTTTCGTTGTTCGTACGTATTGTAAATGTATCTTTATGGTCTTGAGCAGATAAATTATTTTATTTTCCTGTTATGACATGTCTTTTGACCACTTTCTACAAAACGAGATGCACCTAGTGTATCCCCATTTATTCGGTAAACAATACATTCTTCAAGACAGGATTCAGAAGTCATGCGGCATCTTCGAAACGTCCCAATTTAATTCCATAAATGATGTATTAACCGAACATTACCTCCTTCACGTGTCATGGACACATTCCTCCAAATCAAGATACAGAAATGGAGCTGTCACGGTGATGCACTTGTCGTTTACCCCAGGGCAGATCTTTCTCCGCCTTCCTTTTACAGAAAAGGATATTATTCTTTAAAAATCCTTTTACCCAAAGTAAAAATGCTTCTTGAAACCAACACGTGTGACCTGTCTACTGAATTCGACTGTGCATCAATTTTAACACTCATTATTACTCGAAGGGCTCAGCTTCAACTGGATATTCCAAAAGTGGTAAGTTAGAACACACGTGAGAATAAAGAGTCCAGATCACCATGCAAGGCGCACACCCACACACACGTTAGAGTCAATCACAAACATGTTATGTAGCAAGCGAGACATTTTGGAAAAAACTGATTCTTTTCTATAGTAGAAGTTACGGTGTTTTATTTACGTAAAATTCGTTATTACTAAAAATCTGTCGACCTGCACTATAATGGCTGAAATCGTTGCTACAATTGAATACCATCTCCACAATTACGATTCTTATTCTGTGCTCACATTTCGTATATCCGCAGTGCTTACGGCGTCTCCTCTGAGAAAGTATTTTTGTTTTTCAGGATCTACAACGGATAGGTTCGGTTGACGACTTGAACATAAACTCCTGCTTACAAAATAATATCAAATAGTGAAGCCATAAGTGACGTCAGAACTTAAAATTTTAGTCGCATTTAGAAATTAATTGTGCTGTTTCTGTCGTTTTACGATTCACGTTGAGCATTTTCGCAGTCCCAGTAATTAACCCCTCGAGATATCTTCGTCACACATCCCGTTGAATTCTGGTTGTGGCAAAACCAAAGCCTTTTTGCACGCAAAATGTTCTCATGTGTTCTCTTTCTGCGACCTCTACTGCAAGGTTCATGGGTTTATGGGCAAATCTACCGGTATGTTTCCGATACAGCATTAAGGCTTTCGCAAGAGGAAAATCTATCAGCAAGATAGTCGATGTTTATAGGACAACTTTTGTATCAATATATTCATATTCAGAACACTAATAGAACATTTGCAAAATGGAAACTATTTTAGAACTAAATAAACGTATTTACTACTTATCAGACATTTGAGCCAGCAAATAATCTATCACCCTCTTTCCTCGAAGAAAAAACACGTCAGTACATCTGAATAATCTTGGCCGTCCGGCAGATGCCACATCAAAGGCTGTTATGCCTACGTTTCGGCCATACTATCGTTGTCTTCCTCTGGACTGAAGGGCCAAGATGACGTAAAATCACGTCTGTAAAATCACAACGTTCTAAACAAGCATAAACCACATTCTAATAAAACTCCTGACGTTACAATTAAAATACAAAATAAAGGAAATTTTTCGACCGCATTTTCAGCGTTCAAAAATAGTCCTGCTTTCATTTCAGTTTTTACTGAAGTTTCTCTCACTTTTTACTACTCTACCTTTTTACTTGCTCTAAAACAATCGTTATTTTATGTTCAAGAAAAATTAGAATAATGCATTGAAACAGGTGTCCGATTGAACTGTGAGAGAACACAATTAATGAGTTTTTCGCGAACATCGTCTCCCATTTAGAGCTGCCGGCGTTTGACCACTTGGCCATCCTCGGAACAAAATCAACTCTCAGCACATCATTCGAGTATCCACCTTGCCTGTGATGTTGGCAGACCTGTTCTACTTGCGGCAACCTACAGTACTCCTTACGATCTGCAGCCTGCCACCACCGCCTCGCGCGCGGCCCCGCGCGGGGCGCCGGGTTCGCGGATCGCCCTTGGGCGGCGCGGGCGACGAGGGGGCGACGAGGGGCGACGGGCAGCGGGCGATGCGAGCGGCGAGCGCGCGGCAAGTGCGCGCGCACGCGTCCGTACCTGAGGACCTTGACGCCGGGCACCAGCGCACTACGCACAATGAGAACAAGGCCCTTAGAGAACGGCGCCAGCGGCACAAGCGGGGCGGGTTAGAGAGAGA